TAGGAACAGCGGAGATCCCAAAAAGTAAACAAAAGTAAAAGTCTAATATCTTGAAAACCGCTGAATATTTTTCGGTAGAATTTGGTAAAGATATTCGTTTTCGCTCTTTCTGAACCGAGCGACATCACTTCCATGCCAATTCATAAACTTTTTTGAAGGTGGGAGGGTCCCTTTAAGGCCCTCAGAGACCCTATCCAATCGGGAGTTATTGGCAAAAACTGTTTGTAGCCTCAGTGACAGTGAGGACGTTGCGAGACATCTGAAGACCGTGCAGAGGTTCACTTATGACCTCATAGGTCAGTGACCTGATCTGACCCGAAAATGCGGTTGGTGTCAAAAGATCCGGCTTGATTCAAAGGTCATGTATGCCAAGCTTTAGCTCTCTATCGCCGGCGTGTTCGGAGCTATCGCTAAAAAAAACTATGAGGGGCGGCACCCCCTCGGCCGGCGAAGGAACCCGCGCCCCGTTGGGCTCTGCCGAGCAACGCGCCCCGTTGGGGGGGCCATTTTGGCCCCCCCCCTAAGATCTCGAGAACCACGCAACGTAGCGACAAGCGGCAAACGGTGTTGGATAGCCCTATCAGGGAACTACCTTGTGACCCAATTTTATTGACCTAGGTCAAACCGATGACGTCACAGGTCAGGTCAAAGGTCCAATTTTCACCGTTTACAGGCATTTCAAGAAATGCGTTGTAAAATCGAGTAAAATGCATTTCATTGAAAATCATCGATGGGGCAATGTTCTTCAAACACATATTTTGCTAGTTGAGGTCACTGATACCAGGTCAGGTCACTGAGGTCAGGTCACTGGGGGGTCACAATATGAAAGTGCCGTGTGATACATGTTTTATGGTCCATTTTACATGACAAATGCGATTATGTGGGTCAGGCAGCCTTTGGGGCCAGCTTAGGTCACGTTTTGGTCAAGGTCAGGTCAAGGTCAGGTCAAATAAGGTCAAATTTCAAAGTTGATATTTTTGCATAAAATGGGTATCGAATCGATGCAGCTCGTCACGGGGAGTTCAATGATGGTCTTTGTTTTGCCGTACGAGGTCTAGAATCGCTAAAAATTGAGTTCAAAAATTTGACGTCATCATTTTTGAACAGTTTTTTCGCTATAACTTGGCCAAAAAACGAGATATCGATCTGAAATTTGGTATGTATATAGAAAAGCGCAGGGACTATCACATATGTTCCGGTTTTTTCGAAATTCGGAAAAATTTTGGATTTTTTTAGTTTTTCTTAAAAAAATCAATTTTTTGAATTTTTTTTTGGTCAAAAACCCAAAATTTTGAAAATCCGAGATAGCAGTTTTGTAGCGCCGCTTTTTGTCTATTAGACCATATAAAGAACTTTGAAATTGCTTGATAACTGTAGATTTGGTGAGCGTTTCAAGATTGCATGTTTTTTGCTCATTTTTGCTCGAACATGACCTCAGTTTGACCTCAATAACTCCTGACCTAAGGTGACCTAAGACTTGAAATTTGGTGTGAAGGTGTCAAATTGATGCCCGGAAAGGTACTGAAAATTTGGCGGCGCTGCGCGCCGCCGTTTTCTTGCTATTCAGGAAAAACCACAGGGGGGGCCAAAATGGCCCCCCAACGGGGCGAGGGTTAAGGCCCTCAGAGACCAGTACAGGGCCTGCAAAGAGCAGTTTGAGACCTATAGATGCCGACTTGGGCCATCAGAGGCTAATGCGGGTTCTTACAGGCCAGCATGGGCCCTCAGAGGTCAGTGTGGGACCCTAAAATGCCGGCATGGGCCGGCGTTGGACTCCAGAGGCCAGAAGGCCCTCAAAAACCAAGATGGGCCTCTGAGGCCAGCATCAGTCTTCAGAATCCAGTGCAAGGCCCTAAGAGGCTAATGTGGGTCCTTACAGGCCAGCATGGGTCCTTAGAGGTCAGTGTGGGGCCGTAACAGACCGGCATGGGCCGGCGTTGGACCCCTAAGGCCAAGATGGACCCTCAGAGGCCGATGCGGACCCTTAGAGGCCGGCATCGGGTCTCCAGAATTCAGTGCGGGGCCCTCAGAGGCACCTAAAGGTTAGTCTTGGGACCCCAGAGACAGAAATGAGGCCACCAGAGGCCGGTGTGAGCCCCTCAGACGCCGGCTGGGCCCTTGAGGCCGGTTTAGGGGCCCTCAAATGCCAGTGGAGGACCCTCAGAGGTCAATGTGGGTTCTCAGTGGTCAATGTGGGCGCCTGACCGCCACTGAAGGGCCCTCCGAGATCAGTGTAGGACCATCAAAGACTGGTTTGGGAGCTGTTAATAGCTGGCGTGGGATTCTTGAGCCTCGTGAAAGCAGATCTGGTCAAGCGTTGATCGTTTGTATACGCATTCTCCTGCACCGTGCTAGTATTGTCTTATACCTTTTCAGTGCTCGCTGTTCCGCGCATCGTAATCAACAAAATGCTGCGGCACCAGGACTCACAGTCTTGTATTTGATATGGCTTTCTTCATTGAGCGAAGGAACATGCGGTCAATAGCGCTGTAGAAACAAAAGGGAATCTTCACCAAAGGGCAAGCTGAATAGTTGTTCTGAATAGAAAGTTCTGGTGTTTAGGGTACCGGGTGGTAGGTACAGACAGACACTTAAGTCAGCAAAAAGTGGGGGGGCAGTTAACATTGCTGCCCCCCCACCTCCGAAAGTGGGGGGCCATGCCCCCCCGGCCCCCCCCCCCCCCCTGTTCCTACGCCTATGGCTAAATTTGCCCGACACGGGTCCGGTCCCCGTTCAGTATCTCAGTAACCGTGGGTCCGATCGGCACGGGGAACACTCAACACAGTATCGTGTATGAGAATCGAACGGGCTATCGAATGGTGTGCGGTGCGGGGATGGCACGCGCCACGTGCACCCGTGAGGGCACTTATGCTTGAAAATTGACGTTTCGGACAGATTTTGGACTATTTTGGACCACCCGACTATTTTCGGGTGACTGTCAGACGGAGCCGGTTCAAACAACGCCTGTTGGCAAGAGAAATGTACCGCCTCTCATGGAGAAATTGTGAAAAGCTAATTTATCAAAAATAAGGTGGAACAAATCGCTGGAGAAAATGGTGTTTGTTCATGACTTAATTACACAGGTTTTGCTGCATAACCTGGTACGTTTGACGATTGGAAATGACATACAAAAGAGCATTCAATTTTGTCCAAGTTCCAATCATCGCTTTTGCATGACGAGCAACAATATTCTTAAAAATATAAATGTTTCAAACCTCTACATAGTAATTCATCGATGGCTCTCGATTTCTTAAAACCTAAGTCAACCTATGTTATAAAATACACTTGGCATGTTCTATAGTAGAACGCATGGTTATCACACACGAGCACCTCGATGCGATGGATATTTTTTCCTAAACCAAAATGCTTAGTCGTCAAAAGGCAATCGACCGAAATGGATACATAACCCACGGACACAAGACCAACCAAACGCCCACCAATCGAAAATACCCCTTATTCGCGTTGCGGGGCAAGCGGGTCACCCTAGCGGGCCCCATTCACCCGGGGGCCCTGGCCCCATCCACCCGCAGTCCGGGCCCCGTCCACCCGGGGCTCGGTACCCGTCCTCCCGGGGGCCCGGGCCCCATCCACCCGGGGGTCCGGGCCCCGTCCACCCGTGGCCCGTGGCCCGTACTCCCGGGGGCTCGGACCCTCTCCACCTGGGGCCCCAGGCCGACTCCTCACCCGTGGTGTCCCAGTAGGTACTTTTCGAAGCGGGCCCGTCCGATTAGATTAGGACCTCTCTCCGCTCTCTCTCTCTCTCTCTCTCTCTCTCTCTCTCTCTCTCTCTCTCTCTCTCTCTCTCTCTCTCTCTCTCTCTCTCTCTCTCTCTCTCTCTCTCTCTCTCTCTCTCTCTCTCTCTCTCTCTCTCTCTCTCTCTCTCTCTCTCTCTCTCTCTCTCTCTCTCTCTCTCTCTCTCTCTCTCTCTCCCCCCCTCTCTTTCTCGAGCGGGCCCCTGACAGAAATTTCGGGGGGGGTCAGCTGACCCTCTGACACCCCCCCCTGGCTGCACCACTGGGTGAGACGATAACGGTTAGCCACGTTTCACATCAATATTCGGCACAGAGTTGGGGCCGAGAATTAAGTGTACTTCTGAGCCATTTTTGACAATTAAAATGTAATCTGATTGCCATAAAACGGGCGCCATTGAATGCACCGATCAATTTTATGCTAATATCAACAAACGTAGGAAGCGTTTCGTAAAAATCGACTTTTCGATTAAATGGGCATTTTGAAACCGATCTGAGCCATAGTGCGCTGTAGCTCTATTGGCTCCCGAACTGTGCGTCGGCTTCTAGAAAATTGGCGACATTTGAACTGAAAATAGGCGAAATTTTTCCTTCAATGACGTCTGGTGACCTTGACCTGACCAAAAATTACGGAAGTGATTTCGTCATTTACGTATTTTTTACGCTCTTTCGAACGCCGCTTTCCGCGCATCGCTTTCCGCGCATCGCTTTCTGGCACCGGAGTCGAGCTTGAAGGGGTGTTCGAACACCCCCTAGCAGGGCATGAAAATCCAGGACCCCTAGCGGCCAACGGGGCGCGGGTTCAGTACAGGACATAAAGTGCAGGGCATAGAAATATAGGACATAAAAATACATACAGTACATAAGCTACGGAATATCAAAATACCGGGCATAAGAAAGGTGGCACGGTATGGTCAATGTTGATATTTGGGAAAGCAGCTGTAAACGAACGATCCTTTATTTGGCATACCTACTGGGTAATCCATGGCTATTTGAGGAATATTATTCCCGGATAAACAGTGTTCCTAACTAAGGGAAAATGCTACTTTCATCGCAAAGGAAAACATAACACCGCTTTCAAGCATCCTGGCTGCAGCGTGTAATAAACAACTAGAATTTGCAAATCTTGTTTTTATTTTAAAAATGTGTTGGGCTATAGACACTCCCGTAGCTTGAGCTGATGCCTCTCTAGTCTCTACATCCACCTATATGATAAAACGTGTCTAAAGTCACCTGCAATGCAATACGTACCACTTCCTCGGCATCCTCCGAACATATGTCCAGAGATTGACCTGAAACAGGGGCAAAAACGTGAAAACGTGCTTCCTAGACTAGAGATGTCAATCGGATACCAACTTTTTGGTATACCGATACCAAACCGATACCAACTTGGTATTTGGTATTTCAATCCTAATATGTTTGATATTTTGTTGGTATCATGAGCCCTCGCTAATGTTTAAGAGGGTAAGAAATCGGTAAATAGTTGGTATTTTCCTCATTTTCCCAAGTCGGTTTGGTTTCGGTATTTCTCCACGGTTATGGTTGGTATTTGGTTTGGTATCGGTATTCCGATTTTCCGTAATTGACATGACTATCCTAGCCCTCGCCCGCACATGGGGGAGGGTGGTTGCCACCCCCCCCCCCCCAGGCAGTCTTTCTGCTCTGCACTCAACATTTTTAGAGGTAGAAGGCTGATTTTTCGTATAGCTGCTCCTCTATCCTTTCTTGATGTTCACTGAAAATTTCAAGTTTCTGTGGCTTTTGGTTTCGGAGATATGACCTTGTTTTTCAGGTCATGTCATGACCCAAATGGCCAATTCTCAACATCTTGCGTTGGCTATGGGCCTTGTGAGCATTTGACATCTTGATTTCGGCCTTTTTTTGCCAGTCTTACCTCCCACCTATCATGGAACATGTTGTTCGACGATGTACAGATGTCAAGGTCAAGGTCAAGGTCAACCTAGGTTATCTAAGATAATTGCGTTTTATGCAAGCGGAATTTACTTTTTGTGAAGTTTTTTTTTTACTGCATTTTTGGTAAAAGCTTCTCAGATCATGATTTCATGTAATATGGACACATAAACAATCGGTACACGCACACATCAGTATACACACAGACACACTCAGACATCCAAACACATATAATTTACCTTGACCTAACTTGACCTGAAATGACCTCAGCAGCAAAAACCTGGTCGGATAGTGTGACAAAGAGGTTCTATCTGGCTTGGCACCAGAAAACGGCATCGTCATCGGTATATGATAACCAGCGCACTTGATATCCAACGGTGACCAAAAACAGCAACATTTTTTAGTTTGACCTGACCTGGAAGGTCAATGACTGACCTGAGAAGGTAAAACTGGGTATCATTGGATTCGTCTCTTCCCAAAGAATCTTTTTGGTCTTTACTGCTAAGCTCTATCTCCAACAGGAACGAAATGGCGCGGGGGGGGTGGCAACCACCCCCCCCCCCATGTGCGTTCTAGGATGGGAAAATGGCATGTGCGGGCGAGGGCTAGACCGATCCGGGTAAAATGAAATGTGAAGATTTGACACCAGTTTGGATGAAAATATGACGAGTTTTTTTTTCATAAATTGCTGAAAAGATGCATTGTCATTTAACCCGCTAGTTGCTGTGGGGGGGGGGGGGCGTTAAACGCCCCCACTTTTTTCGCCGGGCCATAGCATGTTGGGTACCTGTAGGGAATTGATTGAAGTTTATTGTGACAGTTAAAAAAAAATAGGTCGGACAATTTATGAGATATCGACGTTTTAGTGACGTCATGATTTCTGAGTTTTCGACCAAAAACGGCATATGTTCAAAAAACCATATAAAATCACAGAATAAACATACAGACATGCCGTAAACGCCATTAGACTGCCAATACCATGAACAATCAAATGACTATCTTCGATTATTGATTATCGCTCCGCATTTTCCAAAATCTTGAACTGAATCTTGGCAATTTCTCGTGACTACTTCACGACCATGACACATGCATTTCTTAAATTAAACTTTTTGAGCCAAACACGTACACATATGATAAAATGAATGCCACCATCGTGTTCTATGCCCCAAATTACCCATAAAACATGTGTCACAAGCTGCGAATATCAGTTTTGATTTTCGGGGATATGTGCCTACCCGGTTAACCTGACCTTGACCCTGAACTATGCTTGACTGACCCCTACATGGAGCTGACACTCTTGTAGGCCTTATATGATGGATAGTGCACCGTTTTGACAGAGTTTGTGACGAGAGGCGCCCATTGCGAAGTCCTGAAGTCCATGCTACTGAATGCCCGATTTCAGGTGTTTGACCTGACCTTGACCCGACCTGTGACCTCAAAATTCAACTTTAAAGTACTCATCTGAAGCGCCTCGTCGCGTTCTTTCGTTTGCCGCCTCGTGCGTTTCGCTGCGCCTATTGGTTGTCGAGTTATCGGCTGGGGGCGTTTAACGCCCCCCCCCCCCCCCAGCAAATGGTGGGTGACGAAATACCCCAGCAACTGCCGGGTTAATCGGAGTGTAGACTGACGAAATAACATGGGAGACATTGCAGCAGAAGATTGATCTGATACAGGCACATTAGCTGAAATGTTGATATTTTACAATCAAACATATTTTATATGACGAGGAGAGGTCATATACCTACCTACTTTCCATCTTCATCCATGCAATTAAAAATTTCAGTTTACATTCATTGATGCATCATTCAAAACAAAAGACGATGCATAAAAACAGTTGGATATTCAGACACATAGGTATCTTGGGTATATCTTACATATTATCCTTTACCTATTAAACGAATACTCTTTGTATGGTCAATGGTCATTACCTTTGGCCACTGTCGTAAACATTAGCATCACTGAGATGACGGTAATTTTCCTCATGGTGACACTGTACGCATGGGCGGCGCCACCGGGGGGGACGGGGGGGACAGGTCCCCCGCTATCGAAAGTTAGGGGGGTACAGTACCCCCCTATCGGCGAGGCCCGTTCAATAGTTGATATTAATGCATTATAGAGCTCTCCGTCGCATTTAATGCATCGTTGGTTAATCAAGGCAGGTTCTGAATAGAGATTGCTGTTGGGATGCATCGCAGGGGGTCCTGGCCATCTGCAAAAGGTGTGGAGCTGTGATGCCTGTAGTTATAAGGTGATCGGCAGGGCCTCGGGGATCGTGCCCCCTTTTTGGGGCGCCAGGCAGGGTTATTACTTATTACCTCCCCACCCCACTGCCAGACCCCATTGCCGATAAAACCAAGTTCACTGAAATTCCATAGATTTCCGTTACTATATGAAAATTTTCCATTCCTAATTAGTCAAATTCAAGCATGGCAGTTCTACCACAGGAACCATTTGAAATCTATGCCATTTAACCCCAGCACTTGTGGGGAGAAGTGTTCGGATAGATCACAGGCAGGACCAAAAAAGCACGCAGTAGCCCAAGACCTTATAATTGGATATAGCATCGGCTCCCTCTCGTCAAGGGGTTCGATAGCACTCGTTTTTTTTTTCTGCAAAACTAAGTTCGGTCGGCGGTCGAACGGCTGGGGGTCTAATCGAGCCCCCATCCCTCCCCTTCTTACGTCAGCGGCTGTGAAAATGCCATTACCAGCTGTTGAAACATGGCAGTTGCTTTTGCATGAGTGCACGAAAGGGTTTTAGGTCCGTGATACGTGAAAGGTTCTACATGAAAATTGAGATACACCAGCTTATCAAATTGTGCTCACTGTGGTGCGCTCGGTTTTACCTTGACTAGTCTTTGAATTCTGGGGTGAAGCAGACCAGTCAAGAAACCTGTTCCATAAGGAGAGCCACTAATGCTAAAGAGATGTGGGATGACGTTTCCAGAGACCTTCATTACCTCCCAAAGGGGTTGCCCCGCCATTTGCCAATCCCTGCTGTAGTTGTTACGATTGGAGGGTGAATATGAGAACGATGCAGGTCGTGCCAGCTCGATCATGACGAACACAATGGTGCCGACAGCACAGCTCTACTGCCATTTTTGACGAAGTTAATCAACAAGCACCGGAATCCTACCCTGGGGCATTTCACCTGCAGAGGTCGCCGGACCTGAGACCCTTTCACTCAATTTTTTTTCAACGGTGCATGCGCTTGTTTTTCCCGCGAAGCTCTTGGCAAGTAAAATCCATCAGAAAGTGTGATCAAATAACGGCTGGTGACCTTCCATGACCTAGCATGGCCTTTTGAGTGACCACCGATGACATGACCACTGACGGCTAGCCATTAGCTGCACCCTGCCCGTTGCATATGGATCAGGTGGTGATGTCATGATTCTGAAATTATATTGCAGTTTTGGCGCACTTGTCAGAGCAGAAGACATGACTATATGATGGTGAAGCCCTGAAGCTGACCAGACGTAAGATCGAAAATTTGAAAGTACGAAACGTAAGAACAGCTGGCACTGCTACTCATACCTAAGCAATTCGCAGCTTGTAGGAAACCAGCTTTGAGTTGGCAAGACTGCAAATTTTGATTTAGAGGCAAGGATGATTGAAAAGGTGATCGATCTTAGGTGTCCTAGGATAAGTTTGGAAACGGGATGCACCATTCGATGTGTTTTGGGCCTTGCCAAGTTTCGCGGCGTTACGTGCCTCGTTTTTTTTTTTTGCATACACGATCAGTATCTACTTTTGGGATTTTCGATTTTCGGTCCCCGTCCCCCCCTATCGAAAACCCGTGGCGCCGCCCCTGACTGTACGGGGACACTTCCTAATGACACCACCCGCCGGTGTCAATTTGCTAATACCAACTATATCGGTAAACTAAAGTCGCCTTAACTATCTTCTCTGGACGTCTATCCAAGGCAGCGCAGCGTCAGAATACACACTGGACAGCGGCGCTGAAGATCGCTCCTTATATACCAACTTTGAACGGGAGACTCGAGCTATGACGTCACTGGGGGGTCAGTGACGTCATCAGGGAACAGCTTGCTCTTCTAGGTTTATCGGTAGATCACCACACATCGCAACAGCTCGTTATGGCTGACATAGATAGACCCGGGAACAGGGGGGGGGCAGCGGGGGCGCTTGCCCCCCCCCCCAACTTTAGAGCCGAGGGGGCGGCGCCCCCTCAACATTGAGGCAGCGAGAAAAGATCTTTCCTCCCTTTTCCGGACTTTTTTCCTTCTTGTTTCCTTTACACATCTACACATCAGCACATGGCATTTTCCTTGCCATCTGAATGGTTTCTGCTGATACAGTAGGTATCGATTTGACAATATCTGCTATTGTCATCCCGCTTTGATTTGGGCCTGATATTGGCCATAAGTTTGGCAGGCTAGATTTTATACTGCACCAGCTTGAGTCAACTTTGAGAAATACATGACGTACAACGGTGGTAAAATCGTTGCTATTATAGGTATAACACAGTTTACCCGCTCCGGATGTGATGGAGGGGTGTGGGGCAATAAGTGCACTGACGTGGCGCCCTCGGAGGGCCGGTATGGGATTAAAGCTCAGCGACACTAAGGGCTTGTGTGGTGCCTTCGGTTATCGGTAGCACCCTCAGAATCACCGGCGTAGGGCCCTCAGAGCCGCCGGTAAGGGGCCTCTAGAGGCACTGGTGTGGGGCCGCCATGCAGGTGCCGGTGTGGGCGCTCAGAGGTGCTAGTGTGATTCTCTCAGAGGCGCCGATGAGGGTCCTTACAGGCGTATTGCTGTGGATCCTCATAGACGCTGGTGTGGAGCCGTCTACAGACGGATGTGGGGCCTTTAGAGCTGCTGACGCGAACTCTCTACAAGCCGGCAGGGGGTCTCAGTGACCGGCAAGGGGACCTTACGCCGGCAGAAGAAGTCCTGTGGGGTCCTTAGAGACCGGCCATCATAGGCGCCGACGAGGGCCCCACAGTTGCCGTCATGGGGCCCTCAGAAAAATAAGTGTGGGACCATCACAGGCGGGAAATGCCCCTAGAACTGGCCCCTCATAGGCCGGTAAGACCTCTTAGAGGCCAGTAACGGGCCTTTGGAGATCACCGAGGTGTCCTTAAAAGCCGCAAGAGGCCCTCAGACGCCGGCGTCGGACCCTTGTGGAGATCTTAGTGTGGCTATTTAGGGCCCATGAGGAGCTCTGACGAGCCCCATGGGGCCCTTCTGAGTAGAAATATGGCCATCGTTAACCCTCAGCGGTCAAATGGCGCCGCAGGGCCCCTCGGACCCGAGGGTCCCTCTTATCCCGATGGGGGCGGGGGGGGGGGGGTACGTGTCCCCTTAGACCCCTAGCTACGCCACTGTTTCATATAATGCATCATGTCAGGTATTTTAGGCTCGCCCCCCCCCCCCCCCAACTTGAAAATCGTTCCCGGGCCCCTGATGGCTGATGATTTTTATCAGCAAGTGTTTAGTTGTTCACTGCAGAGTATTACAATTAAATTGTACACCATAGTAGGGATGTCAGCCACCTCTGACAAACATGTAAAATGTGTCGAAGACACCAAAACTCCTTCGTAAATATACAAATGGTTGCAAAATTCTAATTCAGCTCCAAAACCTAGCCTAGAAACCTCCGAACTCGAAAAGTGAACAGAGGTCATTAAAGGTTAATGACCTGACCTGACCTTCAGGTGACCGGGCTGAGGTCAGTATTCAGTCAGTAAGATTTTTCCTATGCATGCTGCATGCCTGCATAAGTAGTTTCGACCGGTTTTAGTGACACTTTTATACAATTGTTTTGTCCATAATTTCCTAACAGTGATTGCGCTACTGCTGTGGATAAAGCTTTATAGGAAATTTATAGAAGAAAATGCATCAAAATACCTAATGGAGAGGCCGCAAAATTGACCTGACCTTAGGTCACCGATATCAAAATTCGGAGATCTACATTTTATAGATACTGTTGCTCTAATCAATCGCTGAAAGTTTCAAGGCAATCGATCAATCGGCGTAGCTATGACGAGCATTCTTATTTTTTTCTGAGGTGAGGTAACTTGGCGTGACCTGGGTACCTGACCGAAGGCGACCTGGGTCTGAAATTTTAACAACATGTGCGGAAAAGATGCATGAACAGGCCGTTTTTGAGATATCTGTGAAAAACCGCAGGGGGGGTGTTTAAACACACCCCCCCGGCCCGGCGCGGGTTAATAGATCTAAAACATCTCCCGAAGCGTTTTAAAATGCTCTCTGTAGGTCAGGCGCCTGTTAAGCATGACTCCGAGGAACCGTGCCACAGGGGCGTGTCGGGATCGTCTCACCGTACAGACGGATACCGAGGTGCGGATCCCTTATACGTTCGCGACTGGAAAAACACCAATACGGGCGAGGGTTAACATTAGTGTGCTTCACTCACATTGACCCACCAGACAGTGATAAACATACTATTATTACTTATCCGTGTGTTTTTCTCACTGACAATGACAATACAAAAAGCAATGTAATATTGTCTGTATTATTGTCATTGTCTGTGAGAAAAAACAAAATGTCTGACTCTTCTATACTTATCCGTGTTGGGACTTGGGCGTTTCATTGAGTTTGTGAGTTGGGGGGAGGGGTGGGGGGGGGCAAACACGAGTATGGTCGCTGGCCAGCTGCCATTTTACAATTTGGTACTCGGTGCTCTCTGGGCCCTGTTTTACGGCACGCCCCTTCACTTCGCTGCAGCGCGCTTCACTGAAGCGGTGAGGTAAACGGAACCTCCGATGCTAAGGTATGACGCCATCACAAAACGCCAGCGTGCTGTAAAATATTGCTTGCAGTATTAGGTATATCGCGAAACTTCAAAAACGATGACCTGAGGTCAGGTCAACTTTGCGACCTCCCCATTATAAGTAACTGCCAACTGGGATAATTCTTCAGAATGCTTGAGACAAGGTAATAGCATCACTAATGTTAGCTGTGGCGGACCTTTGTCCCTGTTTTGAGTTGAGAGCTTGGTGTCGGTACCACGATTTTCCGTCAAATAAATATCACTATGAAGATACCTTCAACCCCGCCGGCCGCCCCCATTGCCAGAATCCCAACAATCTCTCTGGTTCCGCTAGCTTACTTCCTTCTTCCTAGTCAGTATTGGGATGTGACGGGGCGTGCAACACCAGGGATTAGCATGTATCATCGCCCTGTGGTCGCATCAGAGTTCAGATCAATATACAAACATGTTGCGTTGCACAACCGTCCAGCTCTACGTCTGATGAATTAGGCCCTTCTGTCGTGTTTCGCTTCGCTCGCCCGCACTGGAACTGGGCAGAGCAGACAAAGTCAATTCCAGCTTGTAGAGTCTCATTTATCAGATGCGTTGGCTCGGGGCTGGTGGGATACCGGTTAGAGCAGGTTTCATCCGGTTTGCACTTCACGGCCCATGCACTGAAGGTTGTCGACCGCTGAATTGTATGAGAACACCTGTAAGAATCTTGGAGAACACTTCATTTTGTAAACTAAGTGTAAACGGTAAAACATGGGAAAGGACGGTCTCAAATAGGCCGATGCGAGACTTCTTCCAATATTCCAAAGCTACTAAAAGAAGCAATTTCAGCTGCATTGATAAAACATATACATTTTAAGTCAGGAATTTTAATACATATTAAAATTCCTGATAATTTTAATATTTCTTGATAATATTAAAATTAAAATATTTAATACGGCGAGCTTCTGGCGCAGCCACCGACATGGGAGCTAACAGGCCAGCCGCTCCAATCGCGGCCTTATTCCGAGCACCTCGGCGTGACGCTCGATGCCCGCTCCACGGCTTCCATGGACACGTCGACCCAGGGTATAACGTCGCCCAGCGCGTCAAAAGGGCACGAGCTGCCTTTTATGGCCTAGCACCAGCTGGTATGCTGGCCAAAAGCTTAAGCCCCGCTGCCCCCCACTCCCCAGCAGACAAAGCTTATCTATGGAAGAGGTTGTCCTGCCTACTCTGATGTATATGGGTGGCGGGTGCAGCACAGCACCTCTCGGCCCATCCAAAGTGGACCGCCTGGACGCCTTTCAAGCCGGATGTATGAAGGTGGCATTCGGGCTGCCCCGCTTCGCACACCACTCCGCCCTCTTGGCGCGGCCGCCGGCTTGGCACCAGTTCGAGAGTTGATGAGAAGTCAGAAGCGCAATATTATCTGCTCTCAAGTCTCAAGTCAGCGATGGTAGCGGAGCATCGCCTAAAACAGGCCATGATTACCTCCTTAGCGAAGCTGGCCACGTGTCCCAGAAACCTGGAGGGCTCATTCATCCTACAAGTAGGTAGGTATATGAAATGAGCAGCAGGGACTTCCGAGCGATAATGGAGCTGGCTTCCGGTGGGCCGGTGGTCGGTGGACCCTGACCGTGTGCGAGCTCCGAGGATGGAAGACGGCTTGACGGACAGCATAAGACTGGTCCTTCAAGGAACTTGTGAGACCTCCCGGAGACTACTGAGGCTCCTCACGTGCTGTCTGTTACTGCTCCTGCTCCTGGGGCTCCGATCATTTGTGATCACACAAATTTATATAATATGTAGGTACATTGTATTTGTCGATGTACAATGGTGCATTATAAAGAATGAATGACTGAATCAGTAAATTGCAACTACTACACGAACAATTGAAGCTCAAAGTATCTCATTCTGGGCTGTCAAAACGTAGTGTAATGAAGTTAATTTAAATTTGATAGCCAAATTCATCATGTGGACTTTAAAACTTTTGCGTAAGTTTCGTCTCCAACAGTTTTTGCCGGTGCATTCATTTTCATTCTGTTCTACTTACTGCTAGCAAGCTGACGCTAACTCATCTGTTTTGATTCCTGTGATTCGTCAATTAGCTTTGGTTCGGTTAGCGATTGGTTCGCTTGAAAGGACAACACGCACAAATAATGAAGCCTAGAACACTAATTCTGGCCTTCTCAATATTTTAAATTTGGATGGTAGGAGATACACTTGGATGCACTGGGTATGTTTGTTCACAGTTTATATGTTTATTGCAAATATTTAGTGATCTGCATCTTCTTATAGGTATCTTGATCTCAATCTTATAGGTATCTTGATCTGCATGGTGGTCATTCCTCTGCATTGATCTCGGCACATGTGGTTTGTGTAGCTACAGCACTTTCCTACATCAGTAGGCGGAACTATGGTCGAGCGTACCCATTTTCGGGAACGCATTTTCGTTCCCATGTCTGGGAACGATAAACCCAAATATGGGAACGCCATGTAGGCATTATTTAAAACAAGAAAAAGAACCGTTAAATGACGTCCAAAAAATATAAAACGATCGTGAACCGCCTGATATTTGTCTCAATATTGTTGGGAAAGAGTTTGATATTGTAAGGCCCATCATAGTTTCAAATCGTTCCCCTATTTCTAAAGCAGTCCATCATCCGGGCCGCGAGCCCAAATTTGGGAACGCTCTCGTACACTGGCGCTGCAAGCGTTCCTTATTATGGGAACGGCGTACCCAAAATTGGGAACGATTTCACCGACGCCTTTCAGGGGCTCTTTTCATAAACAAGCATCACGTCCAACGCCGCAAATTATTGTTAACGCAACAATTATCAGATGACCTTTCCGGCAAGACCGTTGCATGTTTCGCCCGACGCCCGGTCTTCTGCGCTTTTATTCCCGTCGATCTCGCAGCGGGCACGCCCCCCTCTGCAGGATTATGTAATTCACAACGCTCAGCGATGCTCAACAAGGTCTTCCATACCTATATCCACCGTCCGCGCCGAGGGTGGAGACATGTCAAGCACCTGTCTGTTTATCACCGATAGTTGACGAGCACAAGGAAGTATCCAAAAATGGGAACGCTGAATATGTTACACCCTCAAAACACCTAGTCCCAATGACAATCTAGTTTTTTCCTTTCTTAATGAGTGTAAGTGGCAAAAGGCCTGGTAGGATGGGCACGAGGAATGATCGAAATCAGCATAAAAATTATAAATAAGCCACACAGAGCGACCTATATAAGAGAAATTTCCCCAAAACGATCATGCTTAGAAACACGGAAGACAAAAACCACGCTCATGACGCTCCTCATAAAACAACGCTAAACAGCTAGCATCCAAATAAAATATGTCTTTCCGGGCTGATAAAATACAGCTGAATAATTTTTAACCACTTAAACTGAGTTTACAACAGTAGTTCGGTAAAATAACTGACGTCCCACGCAGTCGTCCGCCTCGACACCAAATGTCAACAATATTATCTCGGGACTGTCCGCGTGTTCGATTGCATATTTCAGCATCTGGTGTCGCTAGTATGAAACTTCATAACCAGGCGAAAATTATTATACTTGACCTCAAAATGTAAAAAACGCTTCATTTTCCTTAAAATTGCAAGTTAAATGTAGTATAACCCATGTTTTCACCATTCCGTCATTTCAAAAAATCATTAAAAATATCATTCGACGGTCAATTTCCTTGTTCAACGGTCAGATTAAAGAAACTTTTATAGAGATTTAGTACAACGCAAAAATGGGAACGTTCCTATATTTGGGTACTCATGACCATAGTTCCACCTACTGACATACCTATAGGAATGCATAATCATAGTTATTAACATAAGTTATTCATTAATTATGCAGTCCTTCTCTTCTCTTAGCACATCCAAGAGTCTAGGTTTGGTACCTATCGGTAGAGCAGACGGCACACAAAGGTTTTCCAACCAAGGAGAGGCGCTATACCCGGAGGCCGGAGGTGAACCTAAACAAACCTAACCTAACCTAGCCTACAACCTATAACTTACAAACCTACAACCTATAAACCTACAACCTATAACCTACAAACCTAAAAACCTACCCTACAAGTCAACCGACAAACCTACAGCGCCTCTCCGCAGTTGGAAAACCTTTGTGTGACGTCTGGCCTAATGCCCTAGATTCCTACATTTTGAATTTGGGGCTATAACTTGGAAGATATGCCTGAGAACTGTTCAGCTGTGCAACAAAAATGTACCACATGTGCGCAGTTAGCTACTTTGAGTGACTTCGCCAGTTAGTCGTCCCCCACACTGGTACCTATTTCATCATGCTCAGCCCTGCATGCCGGAGGAGAGTTGGCCAAGTCTCAGACAGGTGACTGACTGATGTCACCCAAATATGAAGCATGCAGCACTGATCTATGCTGCATGGACTAGGGCAGCCCTCTGAGCTCTGACAGTGTTGTTTGATGTGCGATGCCTTCCTTATGCTTGCCCAATGCCCATTGCCCATAGCCCCATACAAGCTCTGCATTCATTGACGTTCAATACTTGGCTGTATTACTTTCACAAAAAACTGATGTTTGATTTTCTTTCTCATTTCAGGGAGTTTCAGCCTGAGATCTGAGCCAAGTCCTTTTGAAGATGACGGCCACGTTCCTGACAAGGAGTTTGTTTCTTAAATGGCTGGCCGCAATCTACCTTGTTGCTTTTCTCTCCCTTTACATGCAGATCCCAGGTGAGTTTCTTTGTAGATGAAGTATGGTTAACCCTCGCCCGCACATGCCATTTTCCCATCCTAGAACGCACATGGGGGGGGGGGTGGTTGCCACCCCCCCCCCGCGCCATTTCGTTCCTGTTGGAGATAGAGCTTAGCGGTAAGGACCAAAAAGATTCTTTGGGAAGAGACGAATCCAATGATACCCAGTTTTACCTTCTCAGGTCAGTCATTGACCTTCCAGGTCAGGTCAAACTAAAAAATGTTGCTGTTTTGGGTCACCGTTGGATAGCAAGTGCGCTGCTTATCAAATACCGATGACGATGCTGTTTTCTGGTGCCAAGCCAGCTAGAACCTCTTTGTCACACTACCCGACCAGAATTTTGCTGCTGAGGTCATTTCAGGTCAAGTTAGGTCAAGGTCAATTATATGTGTTTGTATGTCTGTGTGTGTCTGTGTGTATACTGATGTGTGCACCGATTGTTTTGGGTCCATATTACATGAAATCATGATCTGAGAAGCTTTTACCAAAAATGCAGTCAAAAAACTTCACAAAAAGTAAATTCAGCTTGCCTAAAACGCAATTATCTTAGATGACCTAGGTTGACCTTGACCCTGACCTTGACCCCTGTACATCGTCGAACAACATGTTCCATGATAGGTGGGAGGTAAGACTGGCAAAAAAGGCCGAAATCAGGGTGTCAAAAGCTCACAAGGCCCATGGCAGGCGCAAGATGTTGAGAATTGGCCATTTGGGTCATGACATGACCTGAAAAACAAGGTCATATCTCCGAAACCAAAAATCACAGAAACTTGAAATTTTCAGTGGACCTCAAGAAAGGATAGAGGAGCAGCTATACGAAAAATCAGCCTTCTAGCTCTAAAAATGTTGAGTGCAGAGCAGAAAGACTACCTGGGGGGGTGGCAACCCCCCCCCCCCCCCATGTGCGGGCGAGGGTTAACCCGCGCCCCACTGGGGGGGGGGGGGCTATTCATAGCCCCCCTCTCGTTTTTCTGCAATAAATTCTAAACCGCTTGACGGATCGCCGCCAAACTTTCAGTACCTTCGGCTGCATCAATTGGACATTTTGTGTCAAAATTTGAACTTCGTATCTTTCATAGGTTGGCCGGAAATGACGTCAGAGTGACGTCATGTTCGGCCGATTTCGACGCAAAACATTGAACCACGGCAATCGCTCCCTAGAGCTCACTTTTTCAGCTAGATCCAATTTCTTTGCATGAGAGGACTCAGAATGGACTGCGCTATCAAACTGCTTTTAAGTTTTATAGATTAAAATTCAAAATTTGTATTTTGATACTTTTTTCATTTTTTTTTTACTTTTCGAAAAAACGGAATATATATGATAGAACACATGCTTACGACTTACTCTAGCAAGTTTTAGCCAGATATCTTCAAAAATTGCCAAGTTATACGCATTATAGCACAATCATAGGTTGGCCGGAAATGACGTCAGAGTGACGTCATGTTCGGCCGATTTCGACGCAAAACATTGAACCACGGCAATCGCTCCCTAGAGCTCACTTTTTCAGCTAGATCCAATTTCTTTGCATGAGAGGACTCAGAATGGACTGCGCTATCAAACTGCTTTCAAGTTTTATAGATTAAAATTCAAAATTTGTATTTTGATACTTTTTTTCATTTTTTTTTTACTTTTCGAAAAAACGGAATATATATGATAGAACACATGCTTACGACTTACTCTAGCAAGTTTTAGCCAGATATCTTCAAAAATTGCCAAGTTATACGCATTATACCACAAATTTCACAATTTTAAGTTTTTCAAATATTTTTTTTTTGTGTGTACGAATTTGACATCGTACACCAATATAAATAGCACCATCTTGTTCCTGAGCTCAAACTGCATCCGATAGACATGTTTTTTGTTGAAAATTTTAAACTTTGAAATTTGACCTTTTTTACCTGAATGTGACCTGACCTAGTCCAACTTTACTATGTGAATGTTCTAACAGTGACATGCATTTGCTATGCAAAAGTTTGCGCCACGCACTTGTCCCACGTAGCTTTGTTAACGCAGATTTACGGTAAAAACATTTTAGATACAATACTTTGTACATTTGCTTACATAATATACTGCACAAACAGTTGCAACTTGCAAGACAGTGTTTTGTCCGCAACCTGTCTCTACATACAATAATCGCCACGCCATGTGTGGATCGCTCATCGTGAATACATACATACATTACATACCAATAATTATCAGTAACCGAATTTCTCCCCTCTCCCCTCCAGGTCTTTTCGGAGCGAACGGCGTGCTCCCGGCGCAGTCCCAGCTGCTGTCTCACCCATCAGTAGCCTCTGCCTGGGCCCGTCCGACGCTCCTCTGGCTGCGAGGCTATGTCGGGCTGGACACCTCACACGCCATGGAAGCCGCGAGTCTGCTTGGGGTGGTACTGAGTTTACTGGCTGTGGTGACGGAGTGGGGAAGAGTTAAGGTGGTGCTCGGTGCACTGCTAGTGCTGTACGGATCGCTGGTGCAGGTCGGACAGGTAAGTGGTGTGGGGGGAGGGGAGGGGAGGGGAGGAGAGAGAGAGAGAGAGAGAGAGAGAGAGAGAGAGAGAGAGAGAGGGAGAGGGAGGGAGAGGGAGAGAGCGGGAGAGAGAGAGAGAGAGAGGGAGGGAGGGAGGGAGGGAGAGAGTGATAGAGAGAGAGAAAAAAAAAGAGTCAACATTCTGTTCTGTCGTTTAAGACTCTATCATAGCCATTTGTGTACCGGTAAACCCTGCTATCCCTTGGTAGGCTTTTCTGCAGTACACTACAGTTTAATATGTAGATGTCTATGGCTCTGTGAATCCATCCAATTGACAACATTCAAACTAAACACCTCTCACAAAACTCTGACTCCCCCCCAATTTCCAGGCATTTTTGTACTACCAGTGGGACTCGTTGCTCCTGGAGACCGGTCTGCTCGCCGTGGTACTCGCCCCCTGGCTACCCTCCGGGGGCCGACAGAGACCCTCGGACTCGGTCGGGCTGTGGTTGGTACGATGGCTGCTCTTCAGACAAGTGTTCTCGACGGGGGCGATGAAGCTGCTCAGCAAGTGTCCGTCATGGTGGAGCCTCACAGGTGAGAGTTGGTGAGAGATCAGGGGTGAGATTTGGGGGGACTCATGGGTGAGATTTGGGGGTCTTACAAGTGAGGTTTGGGGAAATCATGGGTGAGATTTGGGAATCATTGGTAAGCTTTGAGACTCGGAGAACTCAGCCCTCAGGTGAGCTGTGGAAACTCACAGGTGAGGTCTGGGGGCTCAGGTGAGCTGTGGAAACTCACTGGTGTGAGTTGTGGGACTCATCAGTGAGATTTGGGGAAATCTTGGGGTGAAGTGTGGGGACTCAATGGAATATTATGGGACTCAGGGAACACACTGTGGGTTTTAATGCTCATAGGTGATACTTAGGAACTCACAGTCTCACAGATGAACTGTGGAGACTTACAGATGAGCTGTGGTGTCCCATATGTGAGATGTTGAGACTCAGAACTCACAGTTGATAGGGATTCACGGGTGAGCCGTGAGAACAAGTGAGCTGGAGGAACTCATGCTTGTGCTGGTTTAGGGTCTCTAAGAGTCGGAATGTGCAATGTTAAATGGATAAAACGGTGAAAATATTAAAAAAAGCAAGTGGTAAAACGTTGTGGGTGGGTGCTAGTTTTATGTCATTCGTTGAAGGCACCGCGTGGTGGCAGGACGAGGTGGCCGAGTGGTTAAGGCGTTGGACTGCTAATCTAATGGGGTCTCCCCGCGTGAGTTCGAATCTCATCCTCGTCGAACGTTTTCCGTCGTGTTCCAACTGCGGTAACGGTAACAAAAAGCGCCAGGATATGCCGATCCCCACTTTGGTGCATTTCTTTTCGCTCGTATAAAATAGACCCGTAGAACAAATAGTGTTTGTTCTACGCCCACTATATTATACCCCCCCCAAAAAAAAAACAATAGTGTTTTTTTTTTGGGGGGGGGAGAATTATTAGGATCGCTCGGCGAGATTTGGTACCTATCAGTGAGTTACGACCGCTTATGTGAAGAAAGATGGTTTTAGTGATCGTAACATGTCATAACTTATAGCACAATCCCTACATTTTAGTAGTCCGATGGGTCGGGGACGGATGGTCGGAGACGTTATGGGCGCTGATGACCGGTGACCTCCGGGCGGCCTAAAATCACATAATATCGAATCACATTCTTTCTCTTATTCACCCCAACCAATTTCTAGGAACTTCTGTTCATTCATTGGATATTGATTCTCAGTGGACGTATGCCGACCCACTCGCAGGGGGCTAACTGATTCTGTTGTTGTTTCCCTTATTATATTCTTTGGTCGTTATTCTCCTGAGTCCTGATGCTGCCATTGCTGTTGCTGTAGCCTATATCTTTTGCATTATTGTTTTTGTTGTTGCTAAATATCCACCTCTAAATCTCTGATCGCATTGTTCTCGCTATTCATGTCATGACGTTTTCGTTATATATAACCCTTACGTCTACTTTCTCTCTGCAGCAGCGTTGGATATTATTTTCCCTCCCAGTGTATGTCTACCCCGTTATTTCTGATGGTTTATTACTGAATATACCACTCCCGCTTCTGTCTGCAGCTCAATAGACTTCCATTTTACTGATGTCATTTCCCTTCTATCCCTAGGGCTGAACTTAGGTATGTCCATATTACTGACACAACTCCCCTTTCTGTCCCACAGCTTTGGACGTCCATTTCCAATCGCAGTGCATGCCGACCCCTCTAGCGGCGGTGGCACACGCTCTGCCTCCAATCGTCCTCCGTCTGGCAACCGTTTTCAGTCTGGCAGCCGAGCTGGGCGGTCCGTTTCTGTTCTTTTCGCCCGTCAGACGGCTGAGACTGGCCGGGTTCTATCTGCAGGTGAGCACTGGTGGGTCCAGGGGGGGGGGGGGGGTAGAAAATGGGCCCCCTGATCTATAAAAAAAAAATCGATTAAACTCGATGTCGATGCTCAAAATCGATGAAATTTTGCCGTTCTTTCTAGAATAGAAAGAAAACTAGACAACTTCGATTTAACCCGCGCACCGACGCCCCCCCCCCCCCCCCCTGAGGTTTTTCGCGAATAGCGGGAAAACCGCGGCGCTACGCGAAATTTGGTATGACTATAACCTCCTCAATTTTACACATGGTGTGCAAGTTTGAACCTCCTACCTTTTAAGGTCAGGTCACCAGGTCACTTTGAATGACCCAACCTCAAGTCACTTTTTTGCAAATTTGTCACCGTGCCAGAGCTACAGTAGATGTCGGAGGCCTTTGGAAGTCACAGGATATTATTAGGTCATTAGTAGCTACAATTTGTATATCTCGGAATTTTGATATCGGTGACCTAAGGTCAGGTCAATTTCGCGACCTCCCCATTATAAGTCAATGGGGGAAAAATCAACTCCCTGTTTTTACCACTAAAACGGGTCGGAATGGCCCCATATACCATACATGACTTCATATACGATCAACCTTCACTATCTTGAGGTCTGTTTTGCTGTTGGGCAGCTGTGAGGTCATGTGACGTCATCAAAGGTCACCAAAGGTTTTTGGCCAATAACTCCGTACAGGAACAAGATACAGACGCGTGGATGGTCTCATTGTGTTCAGCTCGTCAAGACGCATCGAATGATATACATGATGACCTCAAGGTCACGTGACCTGAGGTCAACCTTTGACCTTGACCTTTCGAGGTCAACATATCTATCATTCGATGCGGATTGACGAGAGGATCACGATAATGCCCTTAGTTTGTTCCTATCTTGACTAATTCGAAAGTTATTCGAGAAAAAACTCTCCATATCTAGCGCCGCCATTTTGACTTTTTCGACCCCTGTGACGTCATCTTTGACCTGACCTGAAAATGACCTTAGTAAAAATTGTAGATCTTGGCCGTGCGTATCCGATGCCGTTTACCGCTTGTCGCTATCTTGCTTCGTTCTCGAGATCTCAGGGGGGGGGCGGTCATCCGCCCCCCCCCCGTCGGTGCGAAGTTGGCGCAGACCCCCGTCGGTGCGCGGGTTAAACTACGAATTAGCACATAAACCACCGAAATCTAAGTTTTTGTTTGTTTAATTTTGATTTTTTGTGGGTTATGTCCCCCGCAGCGTCCGAGACCGCATTTCTGGATCCGCTTATGATTATCATCATGCTGTTCACCCCTATTCGCCCCGCCCCCTCACATCATCATCATTCATCATCATCATCATCATCATCATCATCATCATCATCATCATCATCATCATCATCATCATCATCATCATCATCATCAGTACCATGCTCTCTCCCTCCGGTCCACAGGTGTTCCTGCAGCTGATGGTGTTTGCCACCGGCAGCTTCGGCTTCCACAGTCTCCTGGTGCTGACGTTGTGTCTCAGCCTGCTGGATGATGACTGGCTGACTGGGAGGAAACCACAGGGTAAGACACTGGGGTAGGGTAGGGAATCTGTATGCCAGCACAGTCTCCTGGTACTGACGTTGTGTCTCAGCCTGCTGGATGACGACTGGCTGACCGGCAGGAAGCCGCAGGGTAAGGAACTGTACCGAGTGGGAACCGCAGGGTGAGGAACTGTACCGGGTGGGAACCTCAGGGTGAGGCAATGTACCGGGCGGAAACCTCAGGGTGAGGCACTGATAGATCAGGGTGGTTACCGCGGTACAAAAACTCAGGTAGAGCTGCTCTACTGGTTGGGAAGCCGCAGGGTGAGGACACTGTACCGGGTGGGAACCTCAGGGGCAAGAAACTCCCTATCAGAGTTTCCGTACTGGGCGGAAACCACAGGGTAAGAAACTGGTAGAACGGGGTGGATACCTCGGTACGAAGATTTCCCAATATAGCTACCACTCTGGTTGGAAACCGGAGGGTAAGATACTCACCACCTAGATGGTAAACACAGGGACTGAGGAACCACGGAAGAGCTAGATGAAAAATGCACGGTAAGAAAGTATTTGAACTAGAATATGGAAACCGCGGGGCAAGAACTCTAACTGGCGCTGGACGGCATTGTTAGGATAAGGTACTTCATTGAAGCTGCGTTAAGTTATTAAACGCAAGATGACAAACTTCACTAGACATGGTTGGAAACTAGTTGTTTTCCTGATGATGTCCCAGTACAATTATGATTATACATTTGAAATTAGATTGCGTGGCAAGACTTCTTATTAAAGATAGCTGGCTCGGCGGAATCGTCAGAATATGAGACTCACGTCCTGTGAGCTCACTCATTTGGTGGGACATGGGGTATCTGGAGCGGTTCTGCCCGTCTCTCACCCACTCATCCCCCGGCCCCCGCTGGGGAGGGATGAGAGGCGCTGATTAGCTACTTAATGAAAAATCGTTAACTCCTTTAATGAACTCTCCTCTCTCGCCCACTAGGCGGCCTATCCGGCGGCTGGCTGGAGTCCATTCTCAGTGGCGCCGTGCTCCTCCCTACTCTCTCTAACTCTCACTAACCTTGCCCCCTCCCCCCCCCCCAGGCGGCCTATCTGGCGGCTGGCTGGAGTCCATTCTCAGTGGCGCCGTACTGCTGTCCCTTCTCTCTCTAACTCCCCCTCTCTCCCCTCAGGCGGCCTATCCGGCGGCTGGCTGGAGTCTATCCTCAGCGGCGCCGTACTGCTGTCCCTGCTAGCAGCTACGATAGGTCTGTTCCAGATTCGCCTACAGGATGGAGGCATCGCTACCGATATTGGTAAGAATGGGAGAGGGAAATGTATTCAGGAGGGGTAGGAAACTCACCAGAAACACTCGTCCTGTGGTGGGAGTTACTCGATAGAGGAGATGATTGTATGCCACTAAATACTCGTTGGGAAGCCGAAGGTGGAACTTAGTCTTGGAACTTGGCAGTATTTCTTCAGGAAGAAGTGACAAACTACCATTTTTCATCTAGAGGGGCGCTAACTTAGCTGAATATTCACTACGTCGCGTAACGAAGAGTAACTAATTGCTGAACGAAATGGTACCAGCTGCAGGGGGTGGGGATAGGGTTAGGGCTGGCGACTCTGAAATACTACCCAGGACTGGTTTTCCGGTCTGCATCACCAATCAGTAACTAGACTGGTAGATACAAATCATCATTGTCTGTCCCTGATGTCTATGTCTATCCAGATGCATTCGTTTTAACTGTTGACTTCGCTTCGTCAATCGTTTGGTTATCCCGTCGGCTATTTCTTAAACAAACAAATAAATAAATGCCCCTAAACCCCAAGAAACGAACCTGCCTCCAAACTCAGACTTCCACCCCAACTGTCTTTATCTGACCTCCGTCTTTTTCGCAGGTTTTTCCCCGGAAGAGTTCGGAGAGTTTATCCATTTCGCGGTACCGGCCAGTATTCTGCTGGGCGCGGCCTCTTTCCTGCTGACTGCTGCCGATGCCATCACTACGGGTTTGTATTTAAAAAGTCAGGATGTAGTCATTACACTAACTGGTTTGTGGTGTAATGGTTGAACGTGGGTTTCATGGTTTCATATGGCTTCGCTTTCGCAGCCTGCAGCCTGTCTTAAGGACTCATCTTATTATGAAAAAGATGAGTCGTGAAATAAAGATAAAGTTGATCGTGATGATACACAACGCCCTTCGACGTAACGCTTGTTCAAAAATACGATTACACTTGACACATATCGCTTCGTATAAAACGCACGTAGTCATTATATGCATCGCTCTGTATATCAACAGTCATTATATGCATCGCTCTGTATATCAACGCCAGTCTCGGCACCCTGTTCTATTCTAACGCTCATATTCTACATTCTCTCTACATATTCATACATTCTCTCGTATTCTACGGCGTACGTAACGTACGCCGTACGTAACGCCGTACGGTCTCGCCGTAACGCCGAGACCTTGTATAACGCCGTCTCCGTTTCTTCACAGCTGTTTTGGACTCTGCCGGGGGCTGCTGTCGGAGGATGAACTCCGCTCTGAATACCACGGTGACAGTACTGGTGGCGGCGGCGGTATTCACTTGTTCACTGGTGAGGGAGAGAGAGAGGGAGAGAGAGAGAGAGAGAGAGAGAGAGAGAGAGAGAGAGAGAGAGAGAGAGAGAGAGAGAGAGAGAGAGAGAGGGATGGGAGGGAGACAGGGAGGGAGAGTTAATATTTTTGAGTCAGTGTTAGAGATTCATGCGACACCAAGTTGTGATATGATCCTTTAACTTGCAATTTCTCCGAAACCTTACGTTATTTCAACCTCGATAATATTCCCACAGAACTGCAACCTTTGTTACATTGATATTCGTTATCTCTCCTTAATTAACCTCCACCGCCATTCATTGAGCAGTTTAGAGTTACCCTGCTGACCCTTGTTTGATCTCTGGTGACCCCTGTCGACCTCTGGTGGACCCCTGCTGACCTCTGTTGACCTCTGGTGGACAGGTGAACCCCTGTTGACCTCTAATGCACTCCCTGTTGACCCCTACCCTGACCTCTGTTGACCCCTCTCCGCCCCACAGGTACCGTACACCACCCTGGACGCCCCCACCCACCGCACTCTACCGGAGCCGCTGAGGGATGTATTCGCCGAGACCGTACAGCCTCTACATGTGTTTGGATCGTACGGACTGTTCAAACAGATGACGGGCGTGAAAGGTGAGAGAGAGGAAGAGTCGAGAGATGAAGGAGGAGAGAAAGATAAAGAATCATGGGTAAATTATCGGTGTGAGAAGGCAGCAAACAGTTCGGTGTTCATGGCGAGCGCATATTTAAACAGCGGCGAGGCACATGACACTGGAGTAAATGAGTTATGCACGAATGTTTTCTTTACATACACCTACTTTTGCCCCGCGCTAGCAATTTCCCCTGCACTGGCGTTTTCCCCTACATTAACGTTTTCGCCTACAATAATTTTTCCCTACAATAGCGTTTTCTCCACACCATTGTTTTCCGCTACACGAATGTTTTATCCTATGCTCAACGTTTCTCCTACACTAACGTTTTTCCCTACACCCATTTTTTCACACTAACGTTTCTCGTACCGTAACTTTTTTCCTACGCTAACTCTTTCTCCTACACTAACGTTTTCTCCTACACTTAACTTTTCCCCCTGCACTAACTTCTCCTAATATGCTAACATTTCCCCTCCCCCTGCTGACCCCCTTCCCCCAATCCCCATTTTTACTGTCACATTTATCGCCTGTTATCACACGAAGCGTATATTGATGTGTTTAATTAATCATCACTTTTGTAATGACGTAGACGGTATAGAATCCATGTTATGGAGGGTCTCAATACATCACCTATCTACCAGGTCGTCCGGAGGTCGTGCTCCAGGGCGCCACCAAGCTGGACGGCCCGTGGAATGATATCGAATTCCGCTACAAGCCCGGCCAGCTGGATTACATGCCGCCTTTTGTCGGTGAGTGGAGGTGTTTGTTTGGTGGGGAAGGTGTGTTTGTTTGGTGGGAGGTGTGTTTGTTTGGTGGGGGGAGGTGTGTTTGTTGGTGAGTAGAGATGTTTGTTTGGTGGGGGAAGGTGTGTTTGTTGGTGAGTAGGTAGAGGTGTTTGTTGGCGAGTAGATGTTCCTGATTAGATGTGTCTGTGAACTGTGTATTTATTTAGTATTTATTTAGATACGAGCAGGGGAGCTGGCCTGGACTCTGCCGCCGTTTGTCGATGAGTTAGACGTGTACTGAGTGTGAATAAAATGGGGTGCTTGTTTGTGAGTATAGATGTTTGTTAGGTGAGAAGCGTTGTTTGTTAGTTATGATATGTGTTTGTTGGGTGAGAGAAGGTGTTTCTGTGTGAGTAGAATTGTTTCTTGGTGAGATCCAATGACCACCTGTAGTTCGGGCGCCCAAAACCCCAATTCATCATCATCGTCATCATCGAGATCACGCATATTCATTGATATGATGCGTTGGAAATAACGCAAAGGAGACGTATAGGCCGTCGGTTCATGCCATGGTTACCTATGTCAGTCTTGTCTTAACTATCTTTCTGGGTTTACATTTTGTTTATTTACTGTTTACTTGTGCAATCACCAACGGGATTGAACGGTATAGGTAGTCGCCCAATGGCAGGTGAACTCAACACATAGGACGAAGGGTACTTACTTACTATCTACCTCATGTATCTGTCAAGACTGGCTTTGTCACTAACTCCCCCCCCCCCCCCCCCCATAGCGCCGCACCAGCCCCGTCTGGACTGGCAGATGTGGATGGCGGCCCTGGGAGACTACCACGCTAACCCATGGCTCACCTCACTGGCTTATAGAATACTCACCGGGCAGAAGGAGGTGGTTAGGTGAGTGGATATGACGTCACTGGCTTATAGAATACTCACCGGACAGAAGGAGGTGGTTAGGTGAGTGGATATGACGTCACTGGCTTATAGAATACTCACCGGACAGAAGGAGGTGGTTAGGTGAGTGGATATGACCTCACTGGCTTATAGAATACTCACCGGACAAAGAGAGGTGGTTAGGTGAGTGGATATGACGTCACTGGCTTATAGAATACTCACCGGACAGAAGGAGGTGGTTAGGTGAGTGGATATGACCTCACTGGCTTATAGAATACTCACCGGACAAAGAGAGGTGGTTAGGTGAGTGGATATGACGTCACTGGCTTATAGAATACTCACCGGACAGAAAGAGGTTGTCGGGTGAGTGGATATGACGTCACTGGCTTATAGAATACTCACCGGACAGCGAGAGGTGGTTAGGTGAGTGGATATGACGTCACTGGCTTATAGAATACTCACCGGACAGAAGGAGGTGGTTAGGTGAGTGGATATGACCTCACTGGCTTATAGAATACTCACCGGACAAAGAGAGGTGGTTAGGTGAGTGGATATGACGTCACTGGCTTATAGAATACTCACCGGACAGAAGGAGGTGGTTAGGTGAGTGGATATGACCTCACTGGCTTATAGAATACTCACCGGACAAAGAGAGGTGGTTAGGTGAGTGGATATGACGTCACTGGCTTATAGAATACTCACCGGACAGAAAGAGGTTGTCGGGTGAGTGGATATGACGTCACTGGCTTATAGAATACTCACCGGACAGCGAGAGGTGGTGAGGTGAGTCTGGCTATAACGTGACGTCATTGGAGGATGTAGTGACGTCACTGGCTTATAGAATTCTCACCGGGCAAAGAGAGGTGGTTAGGTGAGTGACTGGCTGTAGTGATGTCAGTGGAGGATATATTGACGACACCGTAATTATAGTCGGTAGCTTTATTAGGTGCTCTGCTGTTTTCGCGATTTCTTTACCGGATGGGTAGGGCAGTCAAATAGGGCAGTCAGGTAGGGACACTGTTACGCTATTTATCGTAGCACTAGTGATTTATGTGAATGTTTTGCGGCCCTAGTTGGTGGCAAACTAATTGCTTCTTATGGCAAGAGGAACTATTTCAACCATTGTGAGCCATTGTGGGTACCATGACGACATGAGCCGTGAGCGAACGTTATTGTTTGGACTTGCGCAGTTATTAGGTGTACGAATTAAAAATTTTGTGGTATATTTATCGTGGTTTTTCATTCTTTTTTTTACCTTGTTTATGACCCAATCGTTTTTGTCGTGTTCCCAACAGTTTGACCCTCGCCACTAGCGAGATGAATCTGACTACATCTCGTTATTCCCAGTCTGCTGGACACTGCTCGTTACCCGTTCACCTTACTGGATATATCTGACTATGTCCACTTATTTCCAGTCTGCTGGACACTGCTCGTTACCCGTTCACCTTCAAGCCGCCGAAGTACATCCGAGGAATGCGCTACACTTATACCTATGGCGCCGGCGATCAGCAAAGGTCAGTGACCTGTGGCACAGGCTGGGTCTGATTTGGTGACCTTTGAGCAGATGAACTTTTGCAATGGCCTGTGACCTCGACCTTATTCATCCCTGTCAAGCAATGTCTTGTGACTGGTTACCTGACCGGATAATCGTAGTTTTTATAACGTCTGACACGGTTAGGTTTCAAACTCGTCAGCGAGTATTCTTTGGCACGACTGAATCTTCTGGCTATTAGTGCAACGTTTTGATGTCTGTTAAAACAGAAAACGTCATATGTTACCCAGACAAGTGCAATAGGCCTTCTTCTGTCTTTCCAAATGTGTGGCTCATGAACGTTTTATTCCTCATTCCTCACCACGACGTGCTCCACTTAAAATACATCACGTGATTTCTACCACTTATCCCCAGCTGCACTGTGGCACCGTCGACCATTCATCACGTGACTGTGCCGCTTATTTCGACAGTTGGTGGCAGCGCAGTAAGACCGGAGAGGAGTACCTGCCTGTGTTCTCAGCCGAACACAAACCGCTGCTCGACTACCTGAAACAGCTGAATGTGATTGGTGAGTGACCACGACCGGCGAGAGGTCACTGGCAGTGGCGGAGTCAGGGCGTGCGACGGGGGGGGGGAGTGGAGGCAGGGTCGGTGGAAGGTTAACGAGTGTCATGTGCTAAGGGGAAATAATGTGGGATTGTGAGATGATCAGTGATCACCCATAGCTGTTGTAACTTGCTCATAAAGTTCGTTGCATGATACAAGAGCCGTAATATATACGGGAGCTGCTAAGAGCCTGCGAAAAATAATACGGGATCTTTCGCCGGTTTTCTTGTGTTCATTTCTCTCCAACTTCCTTCCCAAGTTCACTTTTCACCTTTTCGGTGTTCAGACTAGGCATTCCCTCTATCAAAAGCCTACCTTGCGGCCTCGTGGCACTCTTCACCCTTCGTTAATCCAACACGAGTTCACATGCTACCACCACTACCCTTCTAACCAGTATCCACTAGCCACACCTAACCAATAACCACATATTAGCCGTTTTCACGATGGCCATCTGGTACACATTTGGTGCACATCTGGTACAGATTAAGTGCAGATTTGGTCAAATTAGGTTCAGTGTGTCTCTTAGCAGCTATCAGCTAGGGTTGCACTAATTGCTTATATGCCTGCTTTGTCATATTATCAGAGAGCATCATCGATTAAAACACTGAAATAAATTCATAAAATGAAGATATTACTTGCTGTAAAAGAAATTAGGTGCAGCTTTGGTCAAATCAGGTGCATTCGCCGGATAGCCCGTCGTGAAAACGGCTATTATGACTCTGACTCTCATTTGTCTCTCTCTCTACAGGTCTGCCTAAGGAGACGACCGACAACCCCACTCTGATTGGTCTGTTGGACGCCATCCGTGCCACCCTGGACCAATGGGAGGCCCGGAATCTGGTGTGGTCGGTACTGCTGGCGCTGTGGTTGGTGCGTGTCGTGACGGGGCGTGTCATGGGAAGCGGGCTTTAGAGGAGCGGAGTGGGGAGCGGGGAAGCGGTCTTAAGAAGACTGGTGGGGGCGTCTGTAGGGGTTTGGTCCGTCATGTGAATGTGTCTTCAAGAGGGCGACAGCTGGACGTGTAAAATGACTTTTAGCTGGAAGGCAGCGTAGGGCGTGTTGACTTGTCATGTAAACCGACCTTTACGTGAGATGAACCTATGCTGGGAACCGGGCTTCAGAAGACCCGTAAAAAACTGCTATTGAAAAGGGCCTCTTTAGGCGACCGGCGAAAGGCTTTTGTGAACCGCTCTTTATAATATCGAACTATTATGATCTTGCGAACGTTTAAAGGGACCCTCCCACCTTCAAAAAAGTTTATGAATTGGCACGAAAGTGATGTCGCTCGGTTCAGAAAGAGCGAAAACGAATATCTACCAAATTTCATCGAAAAATATTCACCGGTATTCAAGATATTAGACTTTTACTTTTGTTTACTTTTTGGGATCTCCGCTGTTCCTAGCGACTTTATTTGAAAGTGCGGCATTTGTTGCGCGCAAAGCAGCATATACCACCGCGTGCTACCAAACGTTTTAGTAAAAGATTTAAAAATCGTTAGATCTCCGCTGACGTCACAAATTCTAAGGGGGCATACCAATGCACTAGCCCCTTAGAATCCAAAAACTGCAAGTTTGAAATTCCATATCTCCGAATTAAAGCATTTGTCGATGTCGTGAGTGCCCAAACCGGTATTTTCAGGCCATGGCCACCAATTTGGCTATCTCAACTCAAAACTAATGTTAAGGTGGGAGTGTCCCTTTAACAGTCACGTTAATTAGTGAAACAACGACGAACGGACTTTTAGCGCGATTAACCACAATTCGTTGAATTCAGTCAGGTTGTTGGGCATTCAGTAAAATAAGTCGGAAATATGTGATTCAGATTATCGCTGGCGAAGGCCTTAGGTTGGCTCATATCGATCCCGGCTGGATTTTTGTCTCTTCAAGAGACGATAAATGCTTTCTTTTCCTTACCAGGTTATAGTTGTTCACTCCCGTCTAAGTTTTCTCCTTTGGATGCTATGTTTCTTACAGACCTTGTATAGACCCTATGCAGCGTAGAAAGAAGTCAAGAAGTCACCTGTGAATTCTCGATACCAGCTTTCTGTCGCAGGTTTCTGCCATCATGACATTTGTATAGCGATTTTTGCGTGAGAGAGACGCATGCTTTGGGATTGTGCCTGTGGTCTTTGACGTGTTTGTAGGCTGTTTTGATGATTATTCCCCGTTTTGTAGGCTTGTGTGTGCTTTGGTGTAGCTGTTAGCGCAATATACTCTGGAAGTAGCATAGCGTTGGAAAATGTTCGACTCCCTTCTTATTCTATTCCAATAAGTCACTTCGAAAAGACCCGAAAACCCCATTCCTTGTCCCATACCGGAATGTTTGAAGCATTCACGGAGTTTGTCTCTGTGCTGTGTGCGGATTGAATCGTGTTTTGTGCGGATTGAGGTTTTTCTTTGCTCGGATTGAATCGTGTGTCGTGTGCGAATTCAACCACGCACTCTGCAGATTGGATTCCATTGCGTGTGCGGATTGGAACATGTACTCGAGTGGATAAAACGCGTTCTCTATGCGTGGAGTGAGCGATTGCTGCATAACTTTTCTTTCTAGATTCTCTTACATACATGCCATGCTACGGCAAAAAAAAATCATGTGTTTCGCCACATTTGCTGTTGCGCGTATGTGCGTAGAAACCAAACCCACTGTAAGTCATGGGCTTGTAGGTTAAAACAAACTTCGGTCGCGGACATTCTAGGCTATGTATCTCGAAAAGACCGGATCCGCGTTTTCCCCCAGAGGCTCGATGTTTTCAATCATGTTTCAGCTTACTAGATTTAGTGATGCAACTTTTTACCAGACAGCTAGCCACGACAGGAGAATACATAACGTTTACCAGCTTAGATGCTTCCGTTCTGTTTTCAATTTTGTGCCAGTAAAGATTACAAGAAGTAAATCCAGCGATAGCACTACGCTTGGTGATTCGTTTTTCGCTGCCCTTTGCTCGTTGCATATTCAGTGTCACAGCTGTGATCTTTCGCCGTACCTGCAGTCTTCTATCGTCTTGTCTTCCGAGCACGCGTTTCGAGGCTGATTAATAAATTGATGTGCGAACAGCTAATGTTTTTGAACGATTCAACGGCGATGGAAGGTGGAAAAGAACCTTAGCAATCTAAAAGGCGCTTCCTAAGCCAGCGTAAGCTGTCTTGGTTACCTTCCTTCTTTTACCTACCTATCTAAGCGACTTTAGCCTTCCTAAGCTATCAGTCAGGCACAACTTGTTCGCATCCTTTTCACAACGCAATATTTGTAATTGCCCCGTCCCATGGCTCCCATGGCAGAGCGTCGGACTCGTTTATACGTTTGAGCAATTGAGCTTGATTTGAAAAAAGCGGTTATCACGAACTCGAGCATACAAATATGTGACAGATGCTGGTCTTCGTCCACGGGATGACTGGGCCCCGAGACGGGGTATCACTGAGACGATACGCAGTGTTTCTCCCTAGCTCGTATTCCTCGAGCAGCGACAAAGCTGGGTTATTAATAATCGCTCGGCGTCCTAGCAATCCCGTCCAGTCAGCCCTCCGACATGTTTCAGCGACTGGCTCCCAATACCCATAGCCTCGAGACTTCACGTGTCCTTTGTGCCCCTTTTCCTTGTCCAATGCCCCCCCCCCCCCCAATACACACAGAAACCGCCTCTTATCTCACAATATCCCATCCAAATGCTATAAAATCACAACTACCTCCATCCCAGTCCCCACATTATAACACTCCAAACACTCACAACACCAGGGGAGAAACAATGTGTATTTTCGCTTGGTCCGAGACATGAAACAAAACTGGCACACTAGCGCCACCATTTCGGCGGTGACCGACGGCGGAACCACAGCTCCCGATAGGCCATGTGATTCCCAGTGACAAATAAAACCAAACCAGTGTATAAATGTGACAGCGAATACGGTAGATTTCGGACGGTGAAGACGGGAGGGGTCGATGGTATAACACCGAGGGAGAACCGCCATCCGAGCTGAGGGGAAAGTCTCGTGGCGAGTTGATCGAAAAGCCACCAGTTTTGGGATTTTACACCGGTTTGTCGGGGAGCTCGGCGATTTTCCGTCAATTTCTCCAGAAAAGTCACCAAGCTAGATATTTACGGCCCCAGACTGAGATTTTCTACCGGTTTTCTCCCCATCTCTCGGTGATTTTGCGGCGGTCTCCAGCGGCTGACCTCTCCAAGTCTCCTCTGTCCGGATCTGCCGACCGGTCCGAAGCCATCGGAGTGTTTAGGGAAAGTGCTCTTTTCCAATAGTTTTCTTAAACACAACACAACTCACGCCGAGCGGTCTGTCGTACCGGTACCGAGCCACCGGCGGCGGCCTGGGGGGCGGCTGGGGCCGACCCGGGGATAACCCGAGATGACCTTGGGGCGACCCGAGAAAAACCCTAGAATACCCCGAGATGGATCTCAGATAAGCCGAGATTGCCCAAGAACAACTTGAGTTAATCCGAGGCAGCCCTAGAGCAGCCTTGAATTAACCCAACTCATCCAAAAGCAGCCTGGGATTACCCGAGATCAACCCAAGAATACCCCAAGATTCCCTCTGGTACCCCGTGCTCAGCCCGGGAAACCCCGAGAATCATCCAGCCGCCCGCAGCGCCGGCAACAAATGGCGCCAGAAAGAGCGCGGGGGCGCCATAATTGCCGGCGCGCCGGCCGCCGCGGGCGACACGCCACCGGGGCGGCGAGTGGCGGCCGCCGGGACAGGGCGCGGCGTGGGGTGCAGGGTGGGGACCCTGTGATGGCTGCGGAGCGGTCTTCGCTGTCCGGGTGAGTGACGTACAAACGGGGTGACGCGGTACATTGGAGAGACCGACCGCCCGCCGCGGGGTCCCGGGTGGTACGGGAAAGCCGCCCCGGGAAACGCTGGCTGGGGAATAACTCAAATAACAGAGAGAAGAGAGAAATTGAGATGAGTGGGAACAAGAAAGCAGCCAGCGAAGGATAGGACAGGGAAGAGAAAGATTCAAGAGAAAGACTAACCTAACTCAACATTTTTTTTTTTTGTAAATTTTCGTGCCGAGATCCTGTTTTGGTCGCCCTACCGGTCAGCCGGGCGGCGCAGCGGCCGGGGATCCCCCGAGCTCCCCGGGGCCCACAGCGGACCCCGGGGGCCCGGGAGAGCCCCGGCCGCGGCGGCGCGCTCGACAGTAGCGGGTCTCAGCGTCCGCGTGTTCACCGCCGAGTCACACCGAGCGCCGTCCGACTGCCGTACCCGGCCGGCCAGTCACCGCGCCAGAGACAACACATCGTGACACACCGTCACGGCGAGACACACCGTCACCCCGCGACACGCCACACTCGTGACGCGCCACCATCCGTGACGCTCCCAGTCCGAGTCTCTCCGTGACGTTTCCAGTCCGGGTCCGTGACGGGTCCTCACCGTGAGGTGTTGTGTCACTCCGTGACGCCCCGTCACAATGGCCGGCCGGACGAGAAGCGACGGACCGCCCTGAAGCGTCCCGTCGCCGTTAGACCGGCCGCCAGCGGGCGCGCGGAGGCCCTCCGCCGCGCGCTCCCGCCGGCCGGCCGGCCGCCCCGCCGCGGGGGCGTCCCGCGGCAGCCGGGCAGGGCGCGGGAGGGCAACCCGCCCGTCCCCGCGCCCTCTGCTGCTGCTGCTGCGTGCTGCTGCTGCTGCTGGCGGCACCGGCGGCGGTCCTCGACACGGGCCAGCCGCCGGCGCCACAAACACTCACACACCGGGCGGCCCCAGTGGGCCCCCGGTCAGGGACCCGGGCGGCCCCCAGTGGACCCCCGGCGTCCCACAGGCAACTCTGCCTCCGAATGGACTCCGATGTCCCGACTCTGGGCTCGACAGCCCCACATTGGCTCGGCGGTATCACCAACTCGCCGGCCCCACATTGGCTCGGCGGTCCTTCCAACGCGCCGGCCCCACATTGGACCCCAGGCGGTCCCACTTTGGCTCGACGGTGCCTCTCACGCGCCGGCCTCCACTTTGGGCACACAGCCCCACCTTTGGGCACGACAGCCCCACCTTTGGGCACGACAGCCCCAACCTTGGGCACGACAGCCCCACCTTTGGGCACTGCAGCCCCAACTTTGGGCACGACAGCCCCACCTTTGGGCACGACAGCCCCACCTTTGGACCCAGCGGCCCCAACTTTAGACACGGCGGTCCTTTGACGCACCGGCCCCTCTTTTGGACTGGACAGTCCCTCTTTTAGACCTCGCGGCCCCTCTTGTGGACCTCGCGGCCCCTCGTTCTGAGCGCACTCGCTCGCTCCTGCTCCTCCGACTCTCACCTGCTCCTCCCTTCCTCCTCCTCCTCTCCCCGCACTAACCGCATCCCTGATAAAAGTCCCAGAGAGAGAGAGAGACTCGAGAGAGTGAGGGGGTCTGAGAGCGACCCGAAAGACAACTAAAAAGACAACAATGATATAAATAACAGAGTAAAATCACAGCTGGGGAAGACCGGGGCGGGGCAGTCAGGGAGGCGGCCGGGCCGCCGTGGCGGGCCAAGGGCGGCCCGTGGGGACTCTGCTCCGCCCCCAGTCTGGGAAGGGTGGGAGAGGGGGCGGCCGCGGCGGACGGTCGGTCTACCCCAGGGCGATGTTCACATGGTGTGTGCACACGAGTCGAGTGGTAAAGTCAGAGAGTGAACGCTGACGGTGTTGTGGTGTCAATAGCTGCTCGATGGTACACTCGGGATGACTCCGAGTCAACCCAGAGTAGACTCTACGCTGACTCATGAATCAACCCGACGTCGACCCCAGCGCCGACTCCGGGCCGACTCAGAGTCAAACTCAGTTCACCGAGTGATGACAGACTCGGTGGCGCGTCTAGAGTACGAGTTTCTTGGGCTGTTCCCAGGGGAAGCAGTCGCGACCGAAGTGGCCGTAGCTCGCCGTCTGCTGGTAGATGGGCTGACGCAGGTTCAGCTCCCTGGCAAAAAGAGAGAGAAGAGAGGTGGTCAGCAAAGAAATACAGACACTGAGATGGGAATGGGAGTGGGGAGAGCGGGCATTCACAGAAGACGCAGGAGTCGACACAAGGAAACGTATGATCAGAGAAATAGAGACAAGACGAAGTGCACAGAGGGAGGACGTTTAGTGTCATAAAACAGGTGCGATTATTTGTTGGCTGATATGTTGCATGGGGCGATTCCATTTTCATGAGTCAATTGGCGTAGGCAACACGGAAGGTTTCGTATCAAAAATTCATGGAGCATTTAGGAATATATTGATCACTTTGGTTCGATGAAAATAAAAACCAAATCACTTAAAGTGACCCGACAAATGAAGGACTTGGTAGTCACATCTAATGAAATACTTAAAACACAAACACAACATAAAATGAATAATGCACTTAGAAAAAAAAATTGTTCGCCCGACCAGGGAATCCTCATCAATCACCAACCCCAACCCCCAACACCCACCTGACGATTCTGCCGGGCCTCAGGTCGAAGTTCTTCTTCACTATATCCAGCAGCTGCCTCTGGCTGTACTTGCTGGTGCCATAGTGGAACACGGTGATGGAGATGGGCTCCGCCACACCGATGGCGTAGGATACCTGGACCAGACAGCGGCGGCAGAGGCCGGCCCGGACCAGCGACTTGGCCACCCAGCGGGCCGCGTAGGCCGCCGAGCGGTCCACCTTGGTGTAGTCCTTACCGCTGTGGATGGAGAGGACAGTCTGATTCCAAGTGGACTGTAGGGTTTACGACGTAAACGGATAGTACGATTTGGTGGGATGATCTCACTGCTGGGAGAGGGGGGTTAGTTTGGTGGTTGGCTGGGGGTTTAGATGGGGTGATATGGGTTACTGAAATCTCGAGGTCACGTAAGAAGAAATTAATGGTGGGATTTGATTTAAAAGAAAGGATGAATTTTCGAGAATCGATATAGAGCAGCAACGAATAATACTGGCGTTATGAATTGATAATCAGATTCATCTTACAGTAAGGTGTTTTCCCTCGACCTGCCTGTCTATGTCCCTTGTCCTCTATTCTAGTCCCACACCCTTTCTACTATACGTCTATATCAACTTTTACATCGGCTTCCGTGCCTCATTTTTTTCTCTCCCTTTCCCCTCCCGAAATCCCGCTTCCGAAGGTCTCCTCCCCTTCTCCATCCCCGTTCCCTCAATTCATTGTCCCTCTTTCTCCCCCTCACCTGAAGGCGCCGCCGCCGTGCGCCCCCCAATCCCCATCCTCCGTAGGTATCCACTCTCTCCCTCTCCCCCCTCTCTAACCTGAAGGCGCCGCCGCCGTGCGCTCCCCACCCTCCGTATGTGTCCACGATGATCTTCCTTCCCGTCAGGCCGGCATCCGACTGGGGGCCGCCGATGATGAATTCGCCGCACGGGTTCACGTGGTAGACCGTCTCCGGTGTGAGGTACTTGGCAGGGATGACTTCTTTGATGACCTGTGGAATGGAAGGGGGAGGGGGTGAGATCGAGGTCACACGATACAGGTATTCAACTTTGAAGTGAGTACTAATGGCAAACGCCACCTTAACATCCCCTACGCAAGCCTACAAGACTGACTTCATGATGAAAATTGAAAGTTCCTGTCGCATTATTCCCAAAACGGCTCTCAATTTCTCAATGGCTAAGTTTACGCCTCTAGCCCCTCCTCCGCCCAAACCCAACATAAGAGGTCCGGTGCTGGGCGGCCACACTTCTTCCTCCGACCGCAGCTACCCCTCCCATTCCACATCAACCAACCCGGCCTCTCCAGCATCCTGCACGTGCCGTACCTTTTCCATCACCTCCTGCCGCAGTTTCTCCAGCGAGATGTCGGGTGAGTGCTGTACCGATACCACGACGCTGTGTACGGTCTTGGGCACCATGGCGCCGTGGTCGGAGGCGTACTCGATGGTCACCTGGTGGACGGAGGGGGAAGGTGTAGTTACTGACTGCGATAACAGATGGCGCCGTGGTCGGAGGCGTACTCGATGGTCACCTGGTGCGAAGATAAGAGGTAAAGTTACTATTTTATGACAAGAGACGAAGGAGAGGCAAAAAAGCAGACTGGATACTATTTCATAATCTGTGTAAGATAGATGATTATGTATGCGAGAGTTTTCGCCAAATTCTACCGCGAATAAAGGGTTTGAAAGTATGCTCATAAATTATCAGAAAACATCCGTCACTGAAATAAAGAAATACAGCGCAAAGTTATGTAGACTAGGTCAGGGACACGTCCAAATAAACTTGCGACACTTTCTTGGTCCTCCTAAGCCGGCTGTCTACCTTTGAGCACCCTATCCGGACCTTCAGCTACGTTCCAACTCCTAACACCCGACGTGTGTAGCTGCGCTCCTATCACCCCAACCATCAACACCTTGCTTTCTCCCTTCCTCACAGTACCACATCCGAAGCACCCTCTTCAGCTCTTTCGCTTTTCTTGCCTGTCCTCGACCCGTCCCTCACCTGAGTTTTGCTGTCGGGCCGGGCCCACCAGAGCGAGCCCCGTTTCCCCACGATATAGATCAGTCTCCCTCTCCCGTCCCTCACCTGAGTTTTGCTGTCTGGTCTCGCCCACCACAGGGAGCCCTGCTTCCTGAGGTCAGAGATGCGCCTGTTGAGCGCGTGTGCCAGGACCACGGTGAGGGGCATACACTCCTCAGTTTCGTCTGTGGCGTAGCCGAACATCAGGCCCTATCAGAGTGGACATTAAAGAACATCAGACATCATATCAAGAAGCAAAATGTCAGGCCCTGGAAGAGGGGTTATAATGGAATATCAGACACCATACATAGTAACCGAATTTGGGGCCCTGTCAGAGGGGGATTATAATGAAATATCAGATACCACACATAATAGCCGAACATCAGGCCCTGTCAAGAAGGAATAGAGGGATGTTATAAATTGTCAGACATAGTCGATAATTATCATGCCCTCAAGGAGGGGGAAAAGAAGAACATTAGATATAGACATAGCACATCATGTCTTGCCATAATGGATCACAGTAGGGCATTAGACAAGGTCAGAGGCATGGCTCAGCACTAGATTTCGCGAGAAGGGACGTCAGAGAACAACAGACATCATAGGTACTAAACAGCCATGAAACATCAGACCCCGAGACGTGGACAGCAGAGAGTAAGACAGTGTCAGAGTAACAGTGGTTATACGCCACACCACCAACACTGCAGTGTCACAGACTCAACACAAAATGTTTTGGAACACGTCTACAAAACATACCATTCCATAGGTCAAAAGAGGTCAGCAATAAATCCAGCTATTCACAGTCCACTCAGTTCAACTCCTGCAACACCCCAAAATAAGCGACGTCGCAAACAACACTGAAATATTGTGTAGCGGCATCACTGTTTCAATTATGATTCACAAAATAACTGCAGCAACCCGAACAGAGTAACAAAAACAGACGACACAGATGACCTTTTTTGATAACACCAGCACAACACCTGAATAAATATCTTCCAACAAAACAGCTGAACGAGCCGCATTCAAAGGGAATAATCGATAGACAGCCAACAACTGTCACGCTATATGTCACAAAGGACTGTTTGTATGCAGTTGGCTAACAGGTCACACACGTCAAAAGTCGACAAAAGACAAACACGTGTCCATAAATAGAAGACAGGTCACCGGTCAAAACAAGGGAGGTGAACAGCTGCACAGGTGAAAAGACTCGCCAACGACCAACGACACAGAGAGTGAACACAACACAGCGAACTAAAAGAAGTACGAACAGGTTACCTACCCAGCAAACTAACGAGACTTGGGCCTCGTTTCATAAAGCGAGTCCGTAACTTACGCCGTTTTTGGGGCTTGTATTGCAAGCGCATGTGAAGCGATAAATTTATTTCCCCTTCTCTCTGTTCTTGCTTACAAGATAAATAAATGCAACGATTCAAACTATCGTCATCGCTTCACATGCGCTTGCAATACAAGACCAAAAACCGCCGTAAGTTACGGACTCGCTTTATGAAACGAGGCCCTGGTCTCATTATTATAGGCCAAAACAAATTGATTGATGAGAAAATAAAATAACTAGAGGATACTTTTTGATGGTATCAAAAAGCTACAGCGTATGAACGTAACGTTGAAATGGAAAATAAGCGCTAGAAACAAAAAAAAAAACATTCGTAGCAATTGATGTTTTAATGCATGCACGTTCAACACACAACAAACCCTTTTCCGAACCCCTAAGCATTGACAAGACCGGGAAACGGTAGCCACATCAAACACCCCAATCGTAGATGCTGAACATAAAACATTCATATATCAAAACAGGCAGCCAATACAGGGCCGAGCATGCAAGCCAATCAAGCCAAGCACACTGACAACCAATCCAAGCCAAGCCACGCGTGTTACGCATAGGAGTAGAGACGGAAAGCAGGTAGCGGCAGTACAAAAGCATACAGTGCAAGGAAAAGGCCTAGGAACAAAATGAGCAGGAGCAAATAGAGTACTGCAACAAAAATCAAATATAAAGCGGTGGCGCGACACCTAAAAAAAGAGGAAAATATAAATGAATAACATGATGTCTCGTATTTTCATAAATGCTGAAACAGCTTCCAGATATATGGAGGAAAAGTGTTACAAAAACCATTAAAAAAAAAACGGTTCAACTAGCGCTTAGCGCGAGGCCATTCAACGCAAAGTAACTAGCTTGCCACTAAATAAAAAGTGGAAACAGAAAAACCATCAATCAGACTACTTGAAACCCAGGATAGTGTTCATTCAAGCCTTTCCTTTAAAACTACCATACCAGCAAATAAAAGCGAGCAGCTAGCTAACCGTAGAAAAAGAAACTACGCAGCAGTAGCAGAATATGCCTACAATCCAACAGGTATGCTAAAATCCTCTCCTCGGTTCTCTGGCGTCATTACCTGGTCCCCGGCCCCGACTTCATCCTCAGACCTGCCGAGGTGTACGCCAGAGGCGATATTGGGACTCTGCTCTTCGAGCGCCATCATGATCGAACACGTGTTGTAGTCAAATCCTGGTGAAGGTGGAGTGGAAGAGGTGGTTACCTTAGTGGAGGGATGGTGGTATACCAGCGTCCTTACAAGGAACGAACGCTGGCGGATGGGAGTGAGAATAGGGTGGTCTGGGATTGTCTCCAACTCCAGGCAGAGAAATGACGAAGAGATCCAACCTGTGGAGGTTAATAGATACCCAATACCCATGCACCAACGTCACCAAACACAAAACAGCCCCAGATTCGCAGACATCACCATCGTCCTCCTCCATGCACCTGAAAAGCCCCCAAAAACCTCCTCCGGCCACCGCAAGCCCCGGTTAGTATCCACCGCCTGGCGGCTGCTCGGCGCAGTTTCAGTTGCCGTGACCGCCACCAGATGGCAGTGGTGTCGCCGTGTACCTGATCGCCCGCGCCGATGTCTTCCTCAGCGCGGTTTTCGTGCACGCCGGCAGCAATATCTGGCGACTGCTGCTCCAGCGCGATCATCAGGTTCAGCGTCTTGTGGTCAAATCCTGAATAATCGGCATGTGCGTTCAAATTTTGGGGAGTTTCAATCGACATGTCAATTGTGAGCTGATTGTGAAATTTGGGAGATTTTCGTTCGGTGCGCGCGCTTAAGTTTATGACAGAGATTTATATTCGCAACGTTTGCCAAGTTGTTGTTATTATTCGTCACGTGCAACACAACTGTATTGCTGATCGGTACGTCCAATGCTTTTTGGGGGTTAATTTTTTTTGGAGGCAAAATTCAGCAGATGGAAATTTCCAAAAGCATTAATACCTTAGGTATTAGGAAAGGAAGTAATTTTTAACAAGCACTGGTGCCAAAGGGAATCCGTTGACATAAATCCACTTCATGTGAAAGTTGAAACTAATGTCTATAAGGAAAGACAAACATATTATCTACTTGACGACAGTCATGTAATGGCGGCGATTACGAATCCACGATTACACGATCAACAATTCACATCAAAACCGTGTCAACAGAGAACAGGAAACAGGGCTCCCTGTGGTGGGAACCAATCCCCCTCATTGCAATATCCCCGAAAGGTAAAAAAGGTGGGGCGGGCGGAAAGGGGTGGGGGTGCAAAACGTTATCACACAACAGAAACACTACATAGTCCACTGATTTGAGATATATTGCCCACGCCTAGCCACAAAGCTTCTAAAAGTCTACCCTCCCATTCTCCTTACCCATGCTGAATGATCACTTTAGTCATCTCAACCGCCAATCTAAACTTCGTCCGTCCCATCGTAAGACCCAATTACCCGGCCTCCCTTCCACCCCCCTCCCTCTGCCTTCACCCATCGCCGTACCTTTTTTGCAGTCGTCATATCCGATGCCTTTGATGGTATCCCGGACAATCTTCTGGTAGTCGACTGTGGCTTTTGATGTGATTTCACCGCACACCAGGATCATGCCCGTCTTGGTGGTAGTTTCTGCAGGAAGAATGACACGAGACGTGTGAGGAAAAACGATAGTAACACCAGTAACACTGCTATTCCATGGTAAAGGAGACCATTGACCTAAACAGACACCGACAGTCCTCATCCAGAACTACAGAGGAATAAGGGAAGAGGCTTCTTTGTAGCTCCGACTGGACTATAAAGGACTTTTCCAAGCGGTGGTATAATGGAATGTGAAGTGAAAATCGAGCGACGTAGGAGCAAGATCTTTGTAGCACGCACAAAACAAAATGATTATCTTTTGACGAAGCATTTTTTTTTTCCTTAGAACAGCGAAGGTACGACTTTTTATCGCCAACCACTCCAAAACAGACACCACAAGTGATCCATCCCGTCCATCTCAAACTGTCCACCATTTACCTCAGTACCGTTCCGAGCTCATTCAGCGGTTTTGTGCCTTTCATATATCCGTCAAAAACCGATGACACATCCACCCACACAGCCGAGGACCGGTGTCACAATTCTGACACCGACTGGGGAACCAGCATTCAGGCAGACAACCGAACAACGAACACAAGTGTCAGGTGTCGACGCAGTGCTGGGTGACACAGGTGCGCACTCGCAGGCTTTGATGCATTGTGGGAGCTCCGAAAATGAAGGGCAGGACCGCTTCTAGGAAGACATTCAATGGGCGAGGCGTTCGGTTCTAGCAGGTTTGGTTCGGATCGAATATCAGCATAAGTAAATGTGGAAAAATACAGGGAGAAGAATCTATTAGTAAAAATACCTAACCAAAGATCAACCAGTAAAAAGCCAGCCGATTTCCGAATGAATCCCAGCAAAATATAATGAAACGTTCAATGACTAATAAGTATGAGCATAAGAAATACACGAGGATGATTAATTAGCAGAAGGGCATCCGAGCCGCCCCTGCGAGCTATCTCAACATATTTCCCGGGAAATTATTAGGATAATAACGTTTGTTGTTTGGAGTACAGCAACAATTCCATTACACCCGCCAGGCCTTAATATAAAAAACAACTCCTAATATCTAATAATCCTTATCAACCGAATAAAATCAGCCCCCATCGAACCAAATCCCACCCAACCGCCAAGTGGGCAGCCTGCACCCAAACTTGCATCTCTACTCCGCACTCCCGGCAGGTTGACCTACTGCCCTGGCTACCACGCCACTGTCACACCACGCAACAGCCAACGGACCGAGCCAACAACACAAGACCGAACGATCACCCGGCGGCAGGCCAAAACTGCATCGTCAGGGTGAGAGTACCTGCACGACCACGCCACGTTGTGTTCAGGGTCGTTGACCCGTGTACGAGAGCATCGGGTTGATCGAGTAATGCCGAGACGGAGTTCTATAGCCTTGGCCGAGACTGGTGGTTACTGGTTAGGAAGGTATGCGAGGCTTATAGGCTGCCCCAGGCTATTGGGTAGTAAATTAGCGATGCAGAGGTTGGATGGAGGACGAGTAAAGGTGACTACTACGAAAACGGTGAGAGCTGAGTAGGGTAGGATGAAAAGAGCAATGAGTGGGTGCATAAGCGTAGGAACCATGGGTGCAAGGGTGCAGCTGCACCCACAATATTTATCCAGTGGGTGCAGACAATGTATTCTGCACCCACAATAATCTGAACCAAAAACCCCTTTTTCATCAACATTACTTCCCATGCAGCACGGCAAATTCAGGATATGTTGCCTACTATCCATCTTTCGAAGCATTTGCTACTGTGATCAGTGATGGTCTTCAAAACTTACATTTGTGCTGAAAAAAGGGAAATGGAGCATGTGATTGAACACATAGGGTAAGTGGCTCCTATCACGCACACCTAGTAGGAAAACTGCTTTTGAGACTTACTGAAACCTGTTTTGCTGACAAAATGGTCACAAGCAGTTTTCATAAGCATTTGCTTTCTTGATTTGACTTTTACGTTCCAGCGTTCCTTCATCATTTATGACATATAAGGCAAAACATCCACCAACGTCCGACGTGCGCTAATAGAGCACCGGTGCTCTTATGACGCACATTCAGCTGCCTCAAATGCGCACAAGAACAATTCCAACAGGTTTTAGGTTTAATAAACATGTCGAGGTATTGATCAAATCACTTTATTTTAAAGTTGAACACCATGAGCACATCATTAACTTTGAACTCGACACATCATGAAACACACCATGAACATGTACGCATCATGAACACATCATGAACTCGAAACCTTTTCATTGACTCAGTATCTACTGTCGGCAGAGGTCACAAGTGAAACTTGTCTGTTTTGTTTCAGCGTCAGTGCATGGCACGCATGCCCAGCCAGTGCACACTTGACATTGTATCCACTCTTCACACGATCGTGAGAACTTCATGCAGCAGTATATGCATGTCGTCTCACTTCCTGATGACTGGTCTTCATTGGGCTTTAGGTACCTGGTTTATTTTCACGTGTCCATGTTTGGCTGTTTTCTTTGTTTTTTCCTTGTTACCGTCGGACTCAAACAATGCCCTCTTTACCAGCACAGCATCTCTATTAACTGCCCTTCGCTTACCTTTGCTCTGCACGCGAGGGGTTGGCATCACGTCATGCAGACTTCTATCTAGTTATTCGTCGTCCCGCATGGATACGGAGTCAGCACGAGATGTTCCATCGGCCGAGCTCCCGGGCCCGGCGTCACCAGCCGAGCGCCCGGGCCTGGCGTCACTTGCCGAGCGCCCGGGCCCGGCGTCACCTGCCGAGCTCCCGGGCCCGGCGTCACCAGCCGAGCGCCCGGGCCTGGCGTCACTTGCCGAGCGCCCGAGCCCGGCGTCACCTGCCGAGCTCCCGGGCCCGGCGTCACCAGCCGAGCGCCCGGGTCCGGCGTCACCAGTCGAGCGCCCGGGCCCGGCGTCACCTGCCGAGCTCCCGGGCCCGGCGTCACCTGCCGAGCTCCCGGGCCCGGCGTCACCAGCCGAGCGCCCGGGTCCGGCGTCACCAGCCGAGTGCCCGGGTCCGGCGTCACCAGCCGAGCTCCCGGGCCCGGCGTCACCAGTCGAGCGCCCGGGCCCGGCTTCACATGCCGAGCGCCCGGGCCCGGCATCACCTGCCGAGCTCCCGGGCCCGGCGTCACCAGCCGAGCGCCCGGGTCCGGCGTCACCAGCCGAGCGCCCGGGCCCGGCATCACCTGCCGAGCTCCCGGGCCCGGCGTCACCAGTCGAGCGCCCGGGCCCGGCTTCACATGCCGAGCGCCCGGGCCCGGCGTCACCTGCCGAGCTCCCGGGCCCGGCGTCACCAGCCGAGCGCCCGGGCCCGGCGTCACCTGCCGAGCTCCCGGGCCCGGCGTCACCAGCCGAGCGCCCGGGTCCGGCGTCACCAGCCGAGCGCGCGGGCCCGGCGTCCAGCTCCACCGCCGTTTTGCCAGCTCCACCGCCGTTTTGCCAGCTCCACCGCCGGGAGTGGAGCTCAATGCCGCATTCTACACTGTGCCAATGCCTAACATGTCAATTCATCGTGATATAAGCTGCTCATTGTAAGAAAGAAGGCTAGATAATCATCAGATGTACTGTGCGCATTTGCGGCACTGAAAGTGTGCGTCATTGCAGAACCAGTTGCCCTAAACACGCACACCTGACATTCAGCCCCCTCCCGTCAGCACTGACGCATTCTGGGTAAAGCATGCATGCCTAAACTGAGCCCCGTTTCATTGCCATCCGGTCAGTGCCCATCGATCTTTCCGGCCTATTCAGGTTTACGCGAGAAGTGCATGCGTCTTAAAACATGCATTATTGCTTCAGGCACTTTTTTGCTGAAGAAACATTGCACCTCAATCACAATATCCGCCATAACTACTCACCTTTTGAGCCGACAACACCCCACCGCCGTCCACACGCAGCACAAATGTCGCTGGAAGTGATTGACAGCTGATTTTTTCGTTCCTGGCTTCTGCTGAAGGAACTACATTAAAAAAAGTTCTTGGTGTGCGCTTTTAGGAAGTGTGCGTTATAGGAGCCACTTACCCTACCGAACCGATGACTCACTGTCAAAAATTTTAGCCCGATATCTTCGAAAATGGCTAAGTTGGCCGCTTTTACTTTTTGCGGTAGTCAATATTGACAATATTAGCCCTCGAATGTGTGCAGCGTTTTCCAGCTTCTAATGTGTAGGGGGAGGGGGAGGGGGGTCGGTCGGACCCCCTGCCGTTCGGCCCCTGATCGAGCTAGAGCTTCGCGGAAAAAACGAGGGTGTTGCCCGTGACGAGAGGAAGCCGATGATACCCAATTTTAAGGTCCTACTTCATTGGTTGACCTTCCAGCGGCCGATTTCATAAAGGTTTGGTAGTAATTTACAACTAGGTGCATTTCTCACCCCTCAAAACTACAACCACACTGAGGGAGCGGTTTCATAAAGCTCGGAGGGCATAAATTTCGGCAGTTGTAGTTTTCTGCTTGCTTTGATTGCATTTTACTACCAATAGAACTTTAATAAATATTTCAATTCTGTGAATTATCAAAGTATTAATATAAAATGACTTAATTGTTTTAATTCATCAATAATAAAATTAAATATAATGTTTAAAATAATAATCAAAAGGTATTCAGACAAAAATTTATTTGCTATTCTTGCATTAGGAATTGTAAACAAAAACAATCGTCCAAGGCCATAGAGAAACTACTGCATTCATTTCGGCCGGCTGAATTAGGTTCAGGATATTGTGATATATAAATCACACCCGGCTGCAGGCGCTGCGCTCGTCGCTTTGGGTTTTAAATGCCGTCGAGCAGTGAGGGTTGCCTCGCTGAGTCGTGTGGGCGCTCCTCACTGTAGAGGTCGCTGTGAGCGCTGTGCTCCTCTTCGACCAGAGGATAGGTGGCGGTAGCGGTCGGTACGCAGCCAGCAGCGTACTGACACGTCATAGACCGATTGAAGGTCTTCAGTGCGTTATGAATATGGCGCGGGTAGCTCGATTCCGGCGGCGGCGTGACACAGTGACCCCGTGACCTCTAGCCGTGTCGGTCCGTGTGCGCGGCCCATTCGCCCCCGACTTGGGTTGTCGATGGCGGCTGCCGGCGCCCTTAAAATCGTACGTGTTTTAGACAAAAAGGGAATTAGTGATAGTGATGTTAAAAGGTATAATTTATTTTCCTAATGATTTTATTGCGTGCTTTGGCTGAGTGTCTTGATTTAAGTTTGTTTGCTTTCAAATTTACGATAATACAACAGCACAGGGTCAAAAGGCGGTTAAGACGTAGAACAGTTGCTGTTACATTGGGCTTTGTACGCGAGCCGGCCGGCCGAGTGATTACTGCGCGCGCGCGCGCCGTATAAGAGATACTGATTCGGAGATACTGATTTCCAAGATCGTCGAGCGCCAAGTTCTGCGATGGCAATATCTCCTGAATATAGTGAACACTGAACACAGCGGCAGATGACAACGCCTTGACAATTGTTTTCGTCGTAATACGTGCTACTCAAAGAATGCCACGAAGGTGTGTCGTTGCTTTATTTGCTAGTCCGCACATCTGAGATCGTTTGAGACAAGTGTTTGAAGTTTAACCGGAATCGCTCTGATAGCTGCGATGCAAATTCCAACAGCTGTTATTCTACTAATGAAAAGGTAATTATGTCATTGCTGGCCATGAATAATGAATAAATCACAAATTTTGTAAAAGCAAGGATTGTTTCCGACCGGACCAAAGCGCACATTTTCAGAAACTTTGGCGGGTGGGGTAGGAAAGGGACGCAGCCGCCCGCTGACTGCACGTTCAGGTGCGTCGTGGCGTCGCTGATGAAGTACACCGTGCATATGTTTATCACCAAGAAATTCATGCATTGTGATGTAAAATAAACAATGAAACAATTCCAAACGTAACCACCCAGACAGACGCCGATCCGCCCCCAACATGGCAACACGCTAATAATTTCCTCGAAACTCGCTGAAGACGACTCGCCCACCATTTTGAGCAGTATATGCCCCGCTGCGGAGGCGAATCGTTCACTCGCCCAGTCGGGGACGCAGCCGGCCCCATCACACAGTGTCAGACGCTGAAACGGTTTAATATAGGCGGTTTTGCACAGTCTGGTCCAACTATTATGGGACGCGCTTGCCGCGGGCGCCGCAGTGCTGGCACACGTGCAGCGGAGCCGCGTGTCCGTCCACGTACTCGCTGGCGCCGATCTGCTCGATCAGCGACAGTATCCGCTGGGCGGCCTGCTAGCGCGCCACCTCGGCCAGGGCGAGCGGACCGCTCAGCTCGGTCGGGGCGGCAGCTTCTCGTGCTCGGCAGAGTCCACAGCGCCGCCGCCCGCCGCCCATGAACTGCTGCAGCCGTGCGCGCAGCTCCTTCTGCTCTCTAATGACGTCCTCATGGGCGGCCGCGGTCCCGGTGACTGGATGCGGCTGGAGAGGTTCAGAGATGCGCGCGGAGGCCACTCCAGCGCTCCGGGTTCCAACACGGAACCGGCAGCGGACGGCACGGCCGTTGTGTGATGAGCCAGGACGGCTTCTCCTGATGTGCCCTCTGCATCAGCTGGCTGGTCACAGCTGGCGCGCTCTGTGGGACACGGACACCGTGTTACAGTTAGACGATCCACTAACGTGTTATCATGGGACAAAAAGGGAGGTGTAAGATGCAATGCTCTGTGGCGTGCTCTACTGGAAGAGCGGGAAAAGTGTAAGATGCTGCTATGGGACATGGAAGCAGGTGTAAGAGAAGAAAATCTGCCCGAGCTACCACATGCAGATTTTCTTCTCAAGATGCAGGGCTGGAAAATGATCAAAATCACTTCATGTCATATTAACAGTTGGCCGCATGTGAGACACCTGTTACAGTGACAGCGGAAGTTGGTGAGGCAAAAAGATGTCAAACCTACAATATCTGACTGTTACCTACATAGAAAAAAAGCTACACTATCCATTTTTTTCAATACCTACAAAATAATGATAGGAATACAATGACACTTAGAAGCTGCTCATTGCAAATGACGTTGATTTGAAAAGCAACAATGACCTACCTACCTCCAACTTACTAACCTACTACAAACTATCAACCTACAACCCATTCAGACAAACCTTTTGTATACTAATACCAGAAGCATCTTTGGGTATAGTACAAGTAACTCACCTTGGTTGGAAGACCTTCAATTGATGTAGGTATGCACTCGCAATACTGACAACTTTGACTTGAGACCAGTGAACCTGTTGACGATGACGGGCAAAATGATTAATATGGTACATATGTAGTTGTAGCTGACAATTGACATATCAATATTACACATCACTTGTGGCAAAAAGTATTATCACACTCATTTTATATGTTACCATGTTGAAGAAAGAACACTCAAGTGGTTCCCTGCAAACTGTCAATCTCAAATCTTATCAACTCCTACAACAGCAAATATTTGCCAACAATAATACATTTTTACGGTCTACAAACAAAGTATTACTTACTGCCTTGTGCCTTCAAAGCTCCTGATTCTTGGTCAAATAGTTATTTCAAAATAAATAGGTAGAAAATTCGATTCACTTCCACACTTCAACGTTCAAGACAACTGTTGATGTCAAAGTTTGGTCAAATTTATGCAGCTCGGAGCAACGCAGAATTTTGTGGGATATCAAGAACATGAAAAATTACTTGAGTGTAAAATGCATCGTTTTATGAAACCGATCTGCTGCATTTCTCTCCAAAAACAGCTGTTGGGCATAAAAGTCGACGTAGTAGAATTTCGGTCGCAAAATACAACCCCGTTTTCTTTATGAAACCGCTAGGGCATAAAATCCGGCAAAAACGGGTGGGAAATTGCGCCGTTTGTATTTTACTACCTTTTATGAAATCGGCCGCAGGTCAGGTCAATATTCCAAAAGTCGGGAAAATCGGGACCTGCTAGAACTGCGTAAAGTGAAGCTGTTATCGGGTTTTTTCGGGGTGCTGATCACGAATATCTGATGTTAGTTTTGATCACAGATGATTTCTTCGTGCATTTAGGCCAGATCGGGTCAGGTCAGGTCAGGTCAACCATTAGGCGTCCTACCGGCTATCCATAGTAGGTGTCAACTACCACTGACGGCGTCGTAGCATGTCACGAAAGCACTAAAACTACTTCGTAAACGTTCAAATGGATGCTAAATTCGAAATCAGCCCTATAAACTACCCTAGAAACATGTAAAACTCGAAAAAGTGAACCGAGGTCATCAAAGGTCAATAACCTGACCTGACCTTCAGGTTATCTTCACACCCACCGTGATGCATGGGAAGAACATCATTTCACATGTTTGGACGTCTACAATCACAAAAAGACTGGAAATGCGCGGATAATGTGAGCTGACATACGCCAAATCGCGATTCCGGCCGAACATGGTCTCGAGAATCAGGTCACAGGTCAAAGGTCTTTTGGGTCAGGGTCATGAAATTTTTAGAGTAGGTGTAAAACTGATCAACTCGAGGGAACTTAAAGTTTCGTCGCGATCGGCCGCTTTTTGCGCGAGTTATTTGCGAACAACCATGGGGGGGGGGGTTCATCCGACCCCCCTACACATGCGACATGCGAGGGTCAATGCTTCCAAATGCACTTATCGGTTGGTACCTTTTCGACATGGTACACCCTCAAAGCTCGTAACGAGCCTTCGCTCGGGTGTCGCCCCCCCCCCCCGCTTCACTGGCCATGGCTGGATTTCTGCACCCATGCACCCACAATGCTCCAGCCGTTCCTACGCCCATGAGTGGGTGTCAAAGAAGAAAATACCGTTAGATATTGAAACAGAGCAAGAGCAACCACCGATGCGAAAGAGACACATGGGGAAATGGAGAAGTGGTCATAGTTTATTTGGGTTTAAGGATGTTGAGCTAAACAAGCTCAAGATGTTCACGGTGATGACAGGTCAACAGAAAGCTAGCTTATAACCATGACTTGCAACCATGGCTTGTAAATATTCTAACCATCAATATTGCTTGTCATCGTTATACGAGCCTCGAGTCATCGCCACGGAAGCCCATACCGCCTATCGAGCCGTCGACCTCAAATCCATACAAAAACAGCGAAAGTTGGTCTGGCGAGAACCAGAGAAAGCGCCGCCACCCCGTGCTCCAGAAAACTCAGTAGAGGCAACGACCCCAGTAGATCAGAGGAGGGAGCATTAGAGGTCACCTATAGCAGCACGGGCCGTTCAGTTTAGGACTTGATTTTGACATTTTGGCCAGTCTGATTAAAACTCGGATCGTTTATGAAAACTGCAATTCATTTAGGTAGTGGTCCGACAAGACTTTTTGCTTTTTTCTGAAATAATTCGTTGAAAAATGAGTTATTAGACGCATAATCATGCCAATTTGCCCCGTTACCATGGCCACCTGAGATTGTTTGGTCCCCAGAGTCACGGTTACTAAATTCATTTTTGTCCCCAGTTTTTCGTCGGAAGCGTTCTACCTGGTTTACATAGCCTTGGCCAGACTATAGTACGTCCAAAGTTGAACGTACTTCGGCCCTTCCAGCTTTCCTACAGCATTTGTCGGCCAGCAAGTCTCGCGTACCCAATGACACCACGCCGCCCACTTACAAAAAGCAGACACAGACCGTAACCCAATATTGACCGGCGCCCCAGAGTCCTATCGTCCTGGCGCCTGGTCTAGACAGACGGCGGCCGCGGCGACGGTAGAATGGCAGGAAACCGGTAGACTAGGACTAGTAGACTGCTGCGGGGACGGTAGAATGGCAGTAAACCTGGTAGACTAGAGCTAGTAGACTGCCGCGGGGACGGTAGAATGCCAGTAAACCAGTAGACTAGCGGTAGAATACTGTTGAGAGGATGGTAGAATGCCAGTAAACCGGAAGGCTAGGACTAGTAGTACTGCTGCGCGGACGGTAGAATGCCAGTAGCGATAACGGTGGAGACGGACGCGACGGGGGGGGGGGGGAAGGATCAAGGATGCGGGACTATCTAGTATCTGTCAACGTCAAATGTCGGTCGCCAGCACCCACCCACGCACAGAGTCTAGAGCACGGATTGACACATCGTTGGTGCCACCGCTATAATTTTGTGCCCCTGGTATCTTCTCAGAATCTACCGTTCTGTCGTGGTGGAATCAGAACACATTTAAAACTTCAAAAAATTAGTCTGTACTATAACGATTTCAAAAAAGGGCGAATTTCGAGTGCATCAGGTAGCCGGGAAAATAAGACTTAAACACGTGTCATTCGTATTTACTTCGAAACTTTTAACTAGAGCTCACAATCAACTATGCATCATCATCATCATCATAACCAAGTTTATTAAACAAAAAATACGGGCTGAACTTGTACAAAATATAAGATGCATGATACCCATTATTTGAACTTCTCCCATCATAGCCGTCGCAGCGTTATTTGCCTTCAGGCGTCTGTATGATTACAAGTGGACCAGGTGGGCTTATGGATTAGTGAACGAGTGGTCTGAGCGGCGCTGGGTTCGAGTACCCGACCACAAACCGGCCCGCAGCCAGACATACAAACACCACACTGCAGGCGGCAGCGGCGGTTGCTATGAGCCCCTCCCCCTCCCCCTCCCAGCCACCTCCTCGTCCCTCCCACTAAACAAGCAGTCGATACACCGTGGTAACAGGGTCTGTTCCAGTCGCACTTCCTAACACCTTAACTCCTCCAAGATTGCTCCCCTGTTCCAGTGGTAGCTCTAGCCCCTACAAAGCCAAGGAGGGCCCTGCTCCAACCTCCTCTATCTTGCTCTTGGAGGAGTTTAGAGGTGTTAGGAAGTGCGACTGGAACAGACTCATAACCAACCGTCCTTCCATTGCTGTTAGGGAGTGGGTGTGCCCCCCCCCCCTCCCTTACACCCCACCGCGCTGGGCAGACTCCAAGGAAACAAACCCGACACAAGTCAGCGGCCAGCCGACGAGGCGCCCATCCGGTCGCCCGGGCGGCCGGATGGGCGGATGGATCGATGCTAGGAGCGCTATTCGGCGACCGCTTTCCAGAAGCATGCTGGCGATGCTTGACCTCTCATGAGTGAATTTCACCGATGACTGGTGAATTTCACTTTTTAGGAGCCGAGAAGCGCCAGTTGCCTGGCAGCGTGCTGATAAAAACGGCGACCGAATAGAGCCAGGGTTTCTATAGAATAATGAGCGATTGTTTAAAATTTCTGGAGAACGGATAAATATAATAACACAATACTGTGTAGATTGTAGAATCTTATCAAACAAAAACCTCCAAAACAAGACATAAATAATAACTATAAACTCAGGAAGCCCAATTCTTACCTACCAGAATCGTCCCCAGGCAGTCTGTCGAGTGTCGAGTCACTTGGCGAGCTCAGACTGACCTCAATGGACCGGGGGCGCTCCAACTACTGAGGTCAGATGACGCGCAGAGGTCATATGACCTCCCCTTCCATCCCCTCACACATCTTCAATTGCTCACTCACTCACTTTTCCATCGCTCACACGCTCATATCACTCACTCTCATCTATCTAGCTACAGCTCCTTGGCTCGATATCGGCCTTTATTAATATCCTATATCCACCTACAGTAAGACGGAAGAGCCAGTCCCCAGGGTCCAGGAGGCAGGATAGTGTACAGGGGTAATTGATCTCACAGGTATCGGGTCCAATAATGTGGGCGAAGAAATACAGGAGAAAACACACACGAAAACCACTGAGCATAGTTCTAAAACATTTTGATTTTAGCAGAATCATCGTGATGTTTGTTACTCAGTTTGAGCTTCAAGGGCGCCGACAACAGGGTATGAGCCTATGAAATCAACTTACTGCACTGCACATTACCCACTAGCAGACAGCTCAGTAACATCTCGCAAAAAAAAAAAAACTCTAAAAAGAACTCACAATAACCCACCAGGAACTCATTAAGAACCCAGTTGACTCACTACACACATCTTGCCAGAGCAGATACAGACATCACATAACCTTCGTTTAACTCCATTCACTCTCCACAGATATTCAACTCCAAACACGCCGTCAAACTCGTGAACTCCCAGCTCTGTATACACTCACCGCAGGCCACCTTGGCGTCCGGGTCCAGCCGCAGATAGGCGTCCAGAATGGCATCGCTCACTTGGTCGCAGATCTTGTCTGAAAAAAACAAACGAAAAAGAAGGTTAGAAAATAGTACCTAGGCATGGTGGATATAACACATGGATGGCATCACTCACTTGGTCGCAGATCTTGTCTGAAAAACAAACGAAAAGAAGGTTAGAAAATAGTACCTAGGCATGGTATATGTACTAGATGCCGGCAGCGCTCTTGCGTTGCCTTGGGCCAGAATTGGAGGAACGGTACTGAGGGCACACACCGGGCCAAACCACCGAAACCCAGACTGAGCCAAGGCTATAGAACTCCGACTGAGCTTGGACTGAACCTGAAACCAAACGAAACATCCCAAAAATGCTTCGAAGCACGTGAGATTGGTGCGGATATCTTCCTACAGTATGGTATGAATTAACTGCACGTGCATAGTTCATGTCCCAGGCACCCCAGTGCAGTCATTTTCATAACATCATGTAGCGTGTGTCTAGTTCTATCAGTGTACCGACTTTTGTGTCGCTAGATCGACGTTTCCCGGGATCAGAGGATCCCTAGTCAAAACCGTTATCCGCCCCCCGCACGCGCAGCTTGCACCCCTGGGATATCATCTCGCCGGAATGTTACGACTCAATGTATTCTTCTTATGACCTGCAAGTTTTGAACCAGTTAGAGCGGCCGTTTACCCTGCAGGCGTGGCAACGCACGAAGGGGTGCAATCGGCTTGCACGTACCTAGCTCATGCACCACAGAGTTTAGCTCAACCAAATGTGCACTATTTTGGAGGCCTTGCCTGAGACTACCATTGAACCGATATTGAGGTTGATAGCTCAAAATTTCTTTGAGCCAGAGGACCTCACGTCAAAACGGTTTTCCGCCCCCAGCACGTGCAGCCTGCACCCCTCGCAGACGGTGACCCCCCTGGAAACTGATTCAAGGTGTTACCGATGTGTCCCGCCAGTGTGGCTTTGTCCGTGACCTCGGGTTGACCTGTAGCCTTGACAAAAAATTTCGTGTCACCGAAACTTTGAAGCGGAATAGCATGTGCCACGAAGCACTGAGCGAACCGAGGCCAGTACCAAAAGTTTACCTCGCCGGAGACGAGTCGAACGGTCCCACTTTCGTCCCGATCGGTCCACCCATTTTGACTCCAGAGGCCAGTTTTACCAAAAAATACCAGCCGGCCGCCGAAATAAAATATCCAGCCGAAAAAATAGACGCCACACAGCCACGAGTTTCACCAACAAAAAATTCCAGCCGACTTCGGACGGAAATTATTTGTCGCCGGTAGTCAGCTGATATTCTGTTACGATATCAAATTACGATATGTCAAGGAGGTTAATAAATCATTTAAAGCATGTTTTCAATCAAATTGAAGCGTGATTTCTTACACAAATGCTAAATACATTTCGAAATATTATTATCGTAAATTATTACATTATTTTCAAGAGTAATAACAACAAAGTAGAGCATTATAAACTTTCATATCTATAATAACATTCTGGTGCCCAGCAAAAGCCAATCAATACAAAACTACCAAATTGTAAACGTAGGTGCGTCATTCATAAAGGTGACGTAAGGAAGCTTGCATTTAAGGCAAATATAAGATGGATCTTTTTCCTGTCAGCCTATTATATTAATTTTTACAATACCTTCAACTTGCTATGTACCTTTTTGTCTGTTTTTAGTCGCACCTTGTAGAAAATCATCGTGTAGACAGAGAACGCAATGTGTGGACCTCCACCTATGAGGTGGGGACTAGATGGGACCACTCCAGTGGCAGCGGAACACCTTCAATTAAGGGGGCACTGCCGACTTTTGGTCCCATTCTTTCCATGCAACGCCCATAGGGCTTATATTAAAATGTCAAAATCAAAGGGGGGCACGGTGCCCCGGTGCCCTATCCGTTCCGCCGCCTATGAGTCCCGCTCCCGACAGATCCGGGAGCCGCACCTCTTTCCTAGCTTTCAAAAGAGCGGCAAAGAAGCGGTCAACATTGCTCCCAGAGACGCCACCTGAAGCTGGACGGACGACGGACAGTTCCGCAGCCGAGCGATTGAACTGCGGTGCTACGAGTCGGCTTCGCGTGCACTGCATTAGCACCTTCTAGCGGGAGTAAGAGGGCTAACAAACTCGCCAAGGCCTATATATGTAAAGCATTGTGCAAAGGCGAGTGTCTTACCTTAGGAAAATACTTACCCATATTAACTGCTGCACCGCGGTCATTGCAGGGCTGAGGGTACGTCGTTCGCTCCGCTTCGGCGAGGTGGAGGTCAGACTGCCCGGCTAGGTGGTTTTAGCCGATATGCAGGCCCCGTTTGCCGGGCCCGGTCGAGCAGAAGGAACGCCACACAGCAAAGAATATTTGCTCCAGGCCCGCTACACTGGTCCGGCTCGTAAGTCGTAACAAATTAACAATACCTGCGCTAGCGTCGTCGACCGTCGTTCGACTGCGCCCAGTACCGCTCAGTGGAGAGTCCTGCCGAACTCCTCTGCGTGTGCCCAGATCATTCGTTGCGCGCGGACACAATCGTCCGACGGAGACCGCTGTGCATTATGATCGGATGGTCACCACCTTGGTCGCCGGCTTTCACACCCAGCCGAGCCGTCTGGCTACGCCCCAAATGATCGTCTAAGCCTTTCGATTGGTTTGTAACTCGGGTCAAATATCGAAATGTTTGGGAGTTAGGACATGTTAAATCCGTGTTCATGAACAAACATACATTATGCAACTAAAACGCTTTACTTACTTTAACTTTTCTAGGCTGATGACAAGGCATACCTACATGTATTTCATTGCAATATTTCTAAAATGTAAATAAATCATGAGCAATGAGCATAAAAAAACAACAGCGATCCACTAGAAGCAAGTGTGGAAATCCACTGACGTAGGTCGCCTCGTACTGGCGCAGCTCGTAGCTCGTCCAGCAGCGCCAGCGTCTCCCGCACCCGGCCGCCCGCCTGCATCATCAGCCGCTGGAAATTGCTGCGCTACCGCTCCAACATTAGCTTGACCGCCTGGCCGGCCCGGCGGATGCGCGCCGTCCGACGCACGCAGTGTACGTCTTCAACCGCGCCGGGATGTCGTACGACACGACCGCGTCCACGGCGTCCACGTCAATACCGCGCGCTATAGCCTCGAGCACACCAGCGCGGCCATCTCAGCTAGCGCGCGCCACCACCGGCACGCCGGCACTACCCTACAGAACTCAGTCACGCGCACGCCCAGCACAGACAGCGGTAGCTCCAGCTGGTGCGCCACCTCGTTCCAGTTGACCAACACGAGAGAGCGTCGCCAGTCGGGCTGTCGGAGCAAATGGTGCATCAGCAACGGCTTCAGCGGCTGCGGCGCCACCACGTTGAACGACTCGCTCAGCTCGGCCGGCGTGGTGAACCTGCCGACGAACTGACCGGGCAGTGCGACGGCGGCGGCCGCCGTGCCGACCACCAGCAGTCGCGGCTGGAACAGCGACATTCGCTCCAGCTTCTCCGGCCTCCGGGTTCTGTGACAGGGTGGCCAATAATGGCAGCTTCTGAAGCGGCAGGTGAGGCGCGCAGACGGCGGCGGCCGTCAGCCGGCCGGCGATGCAGGGCGGCGGGCCGTGGCCGCCGCCACCCGCTCCACCGCTTTCAGCCAGCCCGTCTCGGCCATCTCGATCACCCGGTCGGCTTCGTCGATCACCAGGTAGCGCAGGTGCGGTAGCGAGAAGCCCTCGGCGCTGGTTATGTGATCCATCAGCCAGCCGGGAGTGCTCACCACGATCAGCCAGGGAGGCCGGGCCGCGCGGCCCCACCGCCACCAGTTGGCGCCCCCTCGTGCCACTGTGTCTCCACCCAGCAGCTGGACGCAGAGCGGCGTGTCGGCGTCGTACTGGCGGAACACGGCGGGCACCGAGCGGCCGGCCGGCGCCGAGACTCAGAGGTCGGCCGGTGGCAGTGGCGACTCTGCGGCCGCCAGCAGCTCGGGCAGCACGGTCACCTGCACCAGGAACACCTGTTCGATGCCCTCGGCGGCCAGCCGGGCGCGCAGCTCGGGGCAGAGCGCCGGCAGATTGGCCGGCGCCGGCCGCCGGTCGCCAATCGGCTGCAGGTGCGCCAGCCAGTCGGGCAGCGCACGCGGTGCACGGTCTGTCGACTCGAGCGCTCCACCTCGTCCAGCACGGTGAAGTCGTCAGCGGCGGCGTCTCCGTCCGACTCGGAGGTGTCCTCGCTGTCGTTATTGGCGACGGCGGCTGCCGCTGTGCGCTCAGTCAGGTCGGCCATCACAGCAACACTCGCCGATGATTGGCGTCATCGAAACCGTCGGACGATGGTGGATTCATCACCGTTTTTGCAGCAGAGACTGGAAAAACCTCAGCAATAAACAAGGAAAACCTTACAACATGCCACAGCCTGCAATTGTGCACATTGTTATTATATTTCTCACATGACAGAAAATATTGGCTGCTTTATTCTAGGAACTGGCATGAAAAACATAAGCTAAAATCAAGCTAAGTGAATTATTATTGTATTTCAACATGAGACTGGGAAAAAAATCCTTGTCACTGTCAACATGACCAGTGTAACGAATGGGCTGCATGAACATTTCGGCGCATGATCTGAAAACTCTGTGAGCAGAAATTTCAGCGCTGAGGTGAACAAATAACATTTCAGCCGCAATTTGCCTGGTGCCTCCACAATTTTGCAAAACTAACTCACAATACTTACAGCCAGTTTTAACATGATCCCTGCATGACTCATGCATGCAAGATACACATGCATTCAATATCAGCACAGTGCACACACAACAGTTATGGATTCATTTACATTTTACAACATTACTATTCTTTTCTTTTCCTTCAATATTGGCAGCATGACTTGCTGAGCTCAGTGGCACAATCTTATGACAGCAAGTTTGTTCGGGTTCGCAACCATGCAAACTTTCACTTTGCACGTTTGGCTTCAAAAACAAGCCTTTATACATTTCTTTCATGCTATTCAATTTCTTTTTTTTTCAATTTACTGTCATTGATCTTGAAAATATTGCCATTTTGGTCTTAGCCATGTCAATT